CAAGAATGGAAAGGATAGGATGTTGAGGAAATACCTGATGGGCGATCAATTCAGTGAGTAACATTTCGTTTCTTTTATACGTATAATTAAAATAGAGGCTGCGGCAGGACACGTTATTCAATCAGAGTGGGGGTAATTCTACATGTGAATATAAGTTGAAAGAAAAGGATAAAATTTTTTCATTCGAAACCTTGTTCTCGAGAAAATCGAGCTGGAAAATTTATCGAGTACCTGTACACCTGACTATTTCAAGGCGTACGTGTGTAGTAATAAGCAGTGCCAATGTCATGATAAATATCCACTGATAATACATTTATAGACAGTTTTATTGATTTACATGTACATTACTGAATGAAGTGTTGAACATGACTCTTTGAATGAGAGAGTCATCGACTGATATCACGTTGTTTTGACGCTTTAACTGATCGAAAGCTTGTATCACTTCTTCTTTCAGATATAGAAGATTTACACTGTTTTCTGCGTATACTATTGATACGACCCCAAAAATAAAAGTCCAGTAGACGGTGATATTGCTAGCCAACGTACTCTATTGCACGCATAATCAACAGATTTTCAAATTCAATTTTCTCGAAATCGAGGCCTCAAGCGAAAAAGTTGTTTTTTTCCAATTTAATTTCACACGTCGAATTACTCCCGGCACGGTTCCATCACGCATCCTACTATACACTGTATAATAAGTGATATCAAATTGTCTTTTATCTACCAATACTATCGCCATAGCACCAAGGGACGTTCCATCCATATACCCAATGCTGCTAGCGTGATTTTTACCTTCTACTTTATGTGTTATAAATTAAAAATTATGATTTGGAAAAGTTACTGCATACATTCTCGAAGCGATTACTATTCAATAAACATTGATGGCTCGTAGTAGGATTGTCTATTGATAAGAATAAAAAATGCTTCGAGCACAAAGTGTCGAAACAGACCTAAAGATACCATAAATTTTAAATATAGTACTTTATGAGTTTTCCTTTCATAAGATAATTGAGAGGAATCTAGAAAAATAGTAACTTAACGAGACTCTCTTTCCTATTAAATAATACCTATATTTGATTGAAAATAACAGAAATTTCCTTTGGATTTGCTGAAATTTTTATTTGACTGAAAATGGATAAATATTCACGAGTTATTTATAGTTCACTGAAAAGCTTCAGAATAAAAGGCTGAAACATCAGAAAATGAATATGAATGAATATGACTCTGAAACTTCTAGCAAAAGATTATTCAACTCAATCATTCATTATTAGATGCGCCAGCAAATAATCCATCGTTCTGTTTTAATACACTGAAAATATAATGCATGTTAAAAATACATTTCGCACCTTTTCCATCGTAAAACAACCTACAGAGTATTCACGAGTAAAAATTTCCAGCAAATTTTTAGTTTCCTTAACAATAAATGTTAAACTTGGCACAAAATAGTGGATTACTTGTTAATAGATAAGTAACATGACGTGTGCAGAAAGTATAACGGATGGTTCTCTCGTAATGTAGAGCATCGATGGTAGAATGTGTGAATATTATTACAGCGAAACTGGAAAGATGGATCGGAGGAATATTCAACTGGCAGAAAATGGCCTGGGAATGGGGTGTGAACGGTGAGAAGATGTCTTTCCAAAATTTCGGCAAGCCTCAATACAGTCAGGCAAAGCAACAGTATGCGTGGCATTGCATCACGATCGATCCCGCTCTAAAATATAAATGGAGTCCCCGAAGTTGCATGGAACGTAAACATTACGTTTGCGAAGTACCAGTTGGCCGCATGGGTAAGATTTGTTCAAGTTCTCCCGTACACTTTTATGATAACCAAATGTACAAAGTTAAAACTAAAAAAAATATCGTCGATCTTTGTACCCTGATTAGACGCGCAAAAAATAATAAAAAATGTCACGTTTGAAATCCAGCTAGAAGACGCAAGAAGACCACGGATCCGTTCGCGCCGCAAAACCAAAGATTAAAGCCCCGAAAGAAGGGTAAAAAGTATTCAAAGGAGCCGCAAAAGCCGGGCAAACAGAATAAACAGCGGAAGGCCCGGAGAAGAAATTGGGCGGAACAGAATACAAATGATTATTGGGCCCATGGTGTGAATTTGGGTTCAAGGCCACCATCCAAGTAAGATTTCTTGCACTCCCGTGTACAAGTTGCACAATCCAGGCCCTGCAAAATTCGTGTATACGTTTTGAACCGCGTGAAACATTTTTATTGAAGATTAATTAACCTTCATTGTTGATAAATGTTCTAATAATTAGAGTTTCTAGGTGATTGCACAAACGGAAACGAAACTATATTATTCATGTCTGACAAGCCAAACTTGAAATGTTGACCCGTCCTAATTGAAAATTCGAATTAGAAAACTGAATAAATCTATTCATTGTTCTCGAGCATCTGTTGATTATACATCTGCTTATTTTATTTGCTCCCATTAGAGCAGCGATCGTGTTAATGTAAAATCTGTTGAAAAGCAAAATTCGAAATTTCTACGATGTACGTGTTTACTTCCATTAAAAATAATAACAATTAACTAAATAGAAATATAAAGCCTTCATTTTCAATGAAATCCACTCTGGTAAACTCTATTTCGATTGAAGCTTATTTCTCAAAAAACTACGAGTATGCATTATTAGTTTGTTTAAATCTTTTTTAAATTTTACTGAGACTTACAGTGATAATAAACAAAAATTTGCATTCTTAATTATAATAGGCCTTCTTCGGACAATATTAGCAAGACTGGATTCCTGTATGGGCTTATTGAGAATTAATGAAGATTTTTAAATAAAATATCTTACTCAATGGAAACTAGTTCACTAATGAAAAATAACCAAATAAGTAACACATGAACATAATAATTTTACCAAATAATAATTGTTACACCTTCCATTACAGAGTGGCGTATCCGAAAACTCGAATGCGACACCACCCTAACAGAACGCAACTGAATTATACCGCGCCGAGGGTGGAACAAATTCTGCCTCGAGGACGAGAATATGCTACATTTTATGGAGATGGACCCAGCAACGGTCCACAAAGTTTAACAGACATGAACAGGGTTCTTTCCCAAATGCCTGGAAAAATCAATGATCTAGCAAGCGAAGAAGTACTTTTGAAGCCATGAACAAAACCCTGCTCGCGATGCAACGACATTACTTTAACTCTTTATTTGGTAATTTTCGATCATTAACGTTTCATAAAACTTCTTTCTATACATTCTTCTTGTATATTTTTTACTGTAAAATGCGTTTTTACCTATTTTTCTATGTTATTTTGAGCTGTCAGGCTATATACATGCGAAACTTGTTCATCGGGAATTGGCCAAATAAAGAGTCAAGGTTCGGAAGTTTCGTTCTTGTGAATACTATAACGCGTTCCAGCAGTACGGATGTCGTTTCAGATGATATTTAAACCGTGCACAGACTGAAATAATTTATTCACGTAATATCGGCGAAACAGTCTCTCATGTTCCTCACTCTGAATAGGCGTTAGATTCTCGAAGATTACTGTCTAGTTAGTAACGTTACCTCGGTTCGGTAGATTAATAACTTTAATATCGGTATATCGTGTACGAAATGTTCAGATTTTACCGAGAGCTCGTTTTTCCTCGTCTTTTCCTATTTAATTTTCACATGCATAAGACGCGAAGAATTAATATTTCGATGTATTTTTCGACGCTATTTGTCGTTTATTCGCTAGGTGTACGACAGACCGAAGGCATTCACGAGAAGAAACAATTTATGCGGTACAAAATAGAGGATAGATAAATTTAAAAAAGTAATTTTTTAAAACCTTTAGTAATTATTTATATTTTATATTTTCATTTCGCTTAATTTAGTTTTCTTTCATGCAAAAATATTTTTGAGGAACAAATTCTTCTCGGTCGAATGTATTCGAGTTTTTAATGAAAACGTAAAAGTCTCTTATATTTATAACACGGAAGCTTCTCCTTCGCATCAAATAAATATTTAGAATTACGATATAATCATTGTACATCATGTACCACAAATAGTCAATCTGCTTAAACATCAATTATCGCATATCAAATGTACTTGTACTTCCATATTATCTTGAAAAAGTATTGTCATATATTTCATTACCAATGAACAATGTACTGACTGCATATCAATATGACTTAGAGAATCAGAAGGTTATATTCGAACATTATTACTTGGTGTGCATTGACAGTATACAGTAATATAATTTGACTACTTTTATGTTTCATGTTTTAATTTAATAATATTGTAATCGTAAGTATAGTAAACTAAAACTTTTTTTACTACTAATATGTATCAGGATTTCAGTTAATAAGTTAATAAGATATCTTTAATTGTAAGTTAATTAATTTTAAGACATCGCGCAATGTGCTTAAATATCTATGTATGTAGGAAACTGTACTCTAATCTGTGTATCTCTAATATTATCTCAGATTAATAGAGGCTCTATCCACTATTATATTATAATATATTGGCTTACATTATTATTCAACAGTACTAATTACAGCAAATAAACTTACTGTATGCTATTATGAATGAATTATCTTGCATCAATTTGTTTGTAAATATTTCAAAAATTAACTTCTACTTTGTCTTTTTAAAATAATGTAAATTGTATCAATAAAAAATCTGTGTCAAACTATTATTCTCTATAGATACGTATACAGTGGGGCTCACTTAACCGTCCAACCCTCGGGACCTTATCTAGACGCTTATCTGGTAGATGTTTCAAGAATTCAACTGAGCGAGAGAGAAATAACAAGTGTAAGTGAGACACTGATATCCGACACAAGGTGACGCGAACACGACTCGGTAGGTCGTGAAAACAAAAATGTTTCCGTGAGCCCAGTTCCAAGAACTGATGGGTATAGAAACGGACGCTAAAGTCGGCATAAATGTGGACACCGCTGTACAATACTATATAACGTATATACATATAGTATATACATGTGAGTAGTTCATAACTCAAATAATAAATAAATAAGCACTCACCTTTATGTAGATACAGAGAGCGTCGCCCTTTGGTTGCCCATTTGAATCTTTGTATAACTTGATCCTGTTCTTTCCTTTCTCATCTCGTGCTATGAGGCCACATTTATTGAAAAGTGCTGTAAGCTCCTCCATGGTGATGTCTAATGGTAGACCAGACATGTAAATAGCAGTATTATGTGCTTCATCTACTTCAAACCAAGTTGGTGGCTCCTGTGCTTTCTTTTTAGCCTCGATTTTCCTTTTCTCTTTCTCCACTTTTGCTGCTTCCTGAGATTGTTCTACAGATTTTGTTTCTGTCTGACTTGAATCTGTGAATCCATAACTCATTTGATATCTTGCCATGAAATCTTCATCTACCTGTAATATAATCATTTACAAGAAATATTATAAAACATTTGTGATAGGTTATTGTGGGATAGGATGTCGTAGGAACACATCTCACCTTTGGGAACCAAGCATTCTTCTCTTTGTCCCAAAAGTATACACTGCCATCATTAGGGTCTGTATATGTATGGGTATCATTTTCAAAGCCAAACACTCCTTCCTTCTTGACTGCATCAACATTTTCATCCTCTGTTTTTGTTTCTATATTTTCTTTCACCACCCACTCATTCTTCTCTTGGTCGAACCTATATACTACATTAGTTGTAGGATCCTTGTATATGTAAGATTGACCATCGAATTCATAATCTTTCATAGCATCGTCAACTGTTTCTGTTGTTTGACAATCTGTCATCTTGGTTGTCAATAATATTGCATTTGAAAAGTTATGGAAGACCTGTTGAAGATATAATTTCAACAATTATTCATACAAATAAAACATAATGATTGAACTGATGCCAAATATATATTTTTTGGCACCAGTCATCTTGTTTATATAAAGAGTATAAACAAAAAATAACCACTTGTTATCTGATAACAGTTAATTTTCAAATAGTCAATAATTTTTAAACTATACTGATCAAACTGAACTATTTTTTCCTAACTAGAGTTACTATTATACATTGCGCTGCAATGTATAAAACAATGTTGATTTTAAATCATAAGTTTTAAGATGGAATACTATACATGTAACATTAATCACTGTATACAAAGCGCGAAATTTTCAAATAAAAGGGATATAACGTCAACTAACAAAGTAATCGTACAGGTTATGCACAATATACTGGAAAATGAATTATACGTATATACGATTTCAAAATTTTGTACTCTTACACATGTTTCGCCTACAATTAACCATAGCTACATGAACTGTTAATTCACACAATTAAAACTCCTTTTTGTCATATCTACACGTTCTTTTAGACTCTATAAGCGTTCGTTTTATAGGTTATATATATGTCATATACAAAAAATAACGTTATCAACGTACTTACCACTTAAAACGCCATTAACTAGTCACGACGTTACTAACATACTTAACAATTAATTTCACTGTCACAGATTTAATTTTTACCAAAAGAAATAAACATTCGTTTACAAATCTTGACAGCAAACCACAGACGCACGCTTTCGTACACGTTTGTGATACTATTGCGATCTGTACAACTTTCTAGAAGCTCCTTCAACTACCTATGTATATGTCGATAAGAAATGTAGCAATCAATATTCTTGGATCCATAATTCTGCATTTGATATTTTTATTAACAAAAACAACGTTTGTATGTGTAATAAATAGAAGATTTACATTATAAAAAATTAATATTCCAAATATTTTAAATATTTTGAAGTAAGTAGACTCAATATTTTTTATTACTACATATTTAATTTCTCTCTAAAGTTCTGCAAATGCCTCATAAAAAATTAATCAAATTATGAAATATATCATATTTCAATCTTATGTTATAAAAAATTCTATACAATAACTGTTTTAACAATTGATATAGATAAAATAAAATATTTTTTATGTCTATTGTTTCTAGTTTTGTTAAGTTCTAAAACCATTGTTAGTAACTGTTCTTGAAAGAGCTACTTCAATGTATGTATAATACAATGTACGTACATACACTTATAATAGTGGTATCCGATATTTTACCAAATTAATAAAATATTAACTAACTAATTTTCAAATCATACTTATCCAGATAGCACATGACGCCTTGACGACGGCTTAAAGGCTCCCTAGACCTAAAATAGCCGTAAAATAGGCGTCTTTAAGGCGTCATGTGCTATCTGGATAGTAATCAATTACATGACTTGAATTCAAACATTCCTTATGGAACAATAACGTTTAAATAAGTTACGACAAATACATCGATATGTGTACATTAAAATACCAAAAAAGCTTAACAAATAAGGACCAGTACTTATTATATTATAGTTTAAATGTTTTCTCCAAAACTGAAATACATTTAAGACATTTTCTTTTGTATTATCATTAATACTAGTTATCAATATAGAATGAAAAAAAAATTATTTCCACTTCTAAGTGTTTAAAAAGATCATTCACAGTTTAAAACATCAAGCATATCTTCACGTTTGAAGTACGCACTTCCCCATGTTCAAATTTCGATCTCAATCGGTCACTTACTAAGAACATGCATAATTATTAAATATACTCCGACCGTTTGTTACTCTAAAATATAATTGAATTCAAAGAAAAATATACACTCGACAATCGAAAACAGGGAACACTAACTAATTGACTAACAAGCAATTATTCTCCTAAAAAAGAGAAGAATTCATCGGAATGTCGTGACTAATGCAACGGCGCGTTGAATATTCGATGACACTCGGAGGTATATAATGGGACACGAAGGAACGCGTGGATAACGTTGCATTGTTTTTAATTTTCACGCGAGACACACCAGCGACGAACGATCGCTCCCATTCTTATCGTTAGAACACGTTCGGTGTGGTTGCCATTGGAAATTGATTTCCAGTTGCCAGGCAACGTTGAGTTTAAGTTGCTACCAGGATAGCCATGCCTGACCGGCAGTTAGTTGGCTGCAAGTTTCGCAGCGCGAAGTGTAAGCATGGGCTTGTCGGATCTAGAAACGATACCCGGTAAACTTTCCACGATATCGCACTCAGCACACACGATTTCACGCACCTAATTTCATGTTCTACGTAATTCACTCTTTACTCAAGCACCGACAGCACTTTCTTTACGTATTTCACTAAGGTACATACGTGCTACTATTCCTGCATGACGCCGGTTCACCGACGTTAGAGTAACGTAGAAAATATGATTTTCGTGAAGAGCATTGTCAATGCACTAATGAATGATTCATTCATATGGTTACCAGTTTAGGTAGCCTTGATTCTTCAACCAGATACTGTGAGCAAAATTGATGTTTCGTTGGAAAAACATACTACAGTGAATCAATGGAATGTTTGATTATATCAGTTCTATAGAATTGTGGCAGTTTATTCAGGAATTCATACAGGACATTTGCATAAGAAATATATCGTTATTTAATAATAATTTTTTAAGGATTTAAGTTTGTCGACTGTCTTCCTTGTCTTGTTTACTCGTCACACGTTGCAACATACGTGACGTGTAATTCGAAAGGAAGCCACTATATGTTGCTATAAACAATAATACGCAAGCATCAGCCCTCGATAATCTAGTACGAATTAATTAGTAATAATCTTCGAAGTAACCTTCGAAATCGTTAAAAAGGTCTATACATATAGTGTAGATTAACACTTTACGAGCTAATAAAGATAAAACTATCTAAAAATTTAATAATATAATCACAACATAATTACCTGCTTAAATATTTTTGTAATCTGTGAGTAGTTCATGCTACAAATGAACAATGTGTTTTAACAATGTATTTATTGCATATACTGTCAGAATTCCTTAAAATTTTATAATGTATTTCTGTTAATGATACATCGCTATGCACACACTATGGATATAAAGGTGTTAATGGAAGAATAATAGTTGTTACGGTCTATACATAATTACAAACATATGTACGTCAGAGATTACAGTGAACTGTTATTATACGTTTATGAATATCTGACACAGATGAGTAGAGGTGCTCATAATTCTATATCTAATAATATCTCAAGATGCACACGAATTATAAAATGAGGTACATTTAACTGTGTGGTCCAGGTTAAAATAGATGCATATAAATTGAAGTCAATCTGAAAAGAATTACCTTCCGTGAAAATTGTACCTATTTGAGAATATGTAAGCATGTTTAATTTAAAGTAGCAATTTGAAATGGATATGAGAAGGTAGTAGATCTGCGTTAATTAATGCGAAAGATTACACATGGACCTAAATTTGTCCATATTAAATGGAATAGATTCACTGTAAAGCTTTTTAATAAATCATCGTAAGATGCTAAAAAATTGGGAGGTTGATGTCAGGGTTCATATTAAGCTAAAACTTAGTTTATTGTAAAGGGTTGTGGTGTACGCGATTTGAATGTGTTATTGAATTTTTAGTATTCAGATTAATAAAATTTTTATTTATTAACCTGCTGGTAATTAATCTATTCAAATATATAACGTATTAATCTGCTGTGATAGAGTAAGAAATCGGTAAATATCTATAGCAATTTTTATAACCTTCCTCTGTCTAATGGCATCTTTCGTGGTGAACTAGCGTGATACCTCCAGTCAAATGAATTCAAATGAAACTGTAATCAGAATATTTTACTGTAAATGACGATGTGTGTCGTCATCGAAATTTTTGTTGGCAGAAAACGAAAAATCAATTTTTTCATTTTATTTTGAAGTAAAAATTAATTTCTATTTTGCAATTAAAATTATAATTTAAATATGAAAAGCAGTACAAAGAAATTAACAAAATTATGGTAGAAAATATTTGAAGAAAAAAACTTATTATTTATCCTTTCCATTGTATGTAAAGGCAATTGACATGACATGCATTGAACAAATTTACAATTAGTAGGTTGATATTGTAAGTACGTGTAATATTTACTTTATCTGAAAATTAGAAATTAAATGACCCATACACACATTAATCATATACCTAGGTACGTATCACAGGAACTAACCGTAATACGACCGTTACGTGTAAACGTTACGCATACGTCAGACGAGTTGAATTTATCTGTAATCATATTCCTGTTTCCTATTTTAACGAACATAGGGGCAACAGTTTGCGTTTATGTATACGAAAAAAATCGTTCTTCAACACGATTATGTCGTAAATTGCTTCCATAGGTGTGAAATTAATTAAATGAGTGACTTCTCGTAGAAAAAGGTCGAAGGACGCATAAACTGTGTAGTTTACTAATTTCGGTATTAAAGAATTTACCTTTTGGATTTGTTTGTCATTTATTATCACGACAGTATCGCGAAAAACAATTTTCATGTCATTTACTCTACATATTCTCATTTATTCTTACCTTAAAAAGTGTAACAAAACACTTTTAAATATGTAGTATTTAATAGAATCAACATTAAAATAAATATCGCAAATGAAAATAATTGTTTTTTGACAATATCGACAATGTAAACAATAAAATTATAATTAAAATTTTTCGCATTTGAACATTTTAAATCAACTTTCAGTAAAGAATACGGAATTCCATTTTCCTAACAGGTTAGTCTGCAAATAAATTGTTTTAAAAAATCGTGTTTTGTGTAAATTCGATTGCAAACGAGATTTGTAGCTCCAACGCATTATAAGAAATGACATTATTATATAATCATGATGCTCGTGTTATCAGTGCGAAAACGGAGGCAATATGATATTGTCTATTTACACGATTGTGAATTAAATATTGGAATTGATTCAGTTGTTGGTCGTATACATTTTAATTCGTTTGCATGACTAGTACATGATGTGTACTCGGGTTAACGACCCGACGGAGTTCCAGCGGGTAGAAAATGAGCGCATCGATGATATCGGCAAAGCGAATTTATCATTTCTCATGCTGCGTCTCAAAACAGGGACACGTTCTAGATCGGAGGATCTGAAGTAATAATTTTCATCATGCTTCACTTGACAATACAGTTTGACGTTTCATATTGTTTGTATAATAATACCCCGCCTTACACTCTCCCGATTTACGCGAATTTGCATTTACGCCATACATTGTTTCCCCTCCTCTCCCATCTCTTACCTCCCACTTGTATGTCACATAAGTATTTTTATAGTTTTGTTTAATGAATGAAACAGGATTAATTGGCAATAAATTAGCATTTTATTTTTAGATCTTCTATCAAAGAACCGATTAGTTCAGATTAATATAAAGCTGTATGGAAATTTGTACCCCGGCTTACGCTTTTTCGACTTACGCCACCAATGCCAGAACCACTCATAGCGTAACTTCGGGGTATTACTGTACTCAGAAATAACGAATGTAAGACAAAAATGGTTGAAAGGATTGCAACACCTACAGTAGAACACCGATTATCCGATCGAATAGGGGGACAAACTCCTTCGAATAAGCGGTCTTTCGGACAATCGATCCAAGAGAACAAAAATTTAATATATGTCATAAAACTATTAGAAATAAAGTATTAATTATTATTAATTATTATTCCAAAATACGTAATTTTGGAAAATGAATGATTATCGAAGACGTACTGAGTACGTAAGCACAATGCAACAAATTTAAGGATGCATTCGTTTCCAAACTTTTGATGTGTTTATTATATATGTTATAATGTATTATTCATTATTCTGTTTGAACTTCTTATAAATTAAACCGTTTATTTGAAGTATCTCGGGTTGCCTGTACGACGTATGGAGGAAATGTTCTGGCACTTTTCACGGTGCCGTATGACGGACGGACTGAACACTCGAAGGGTTAGTCATTTGATGCACACGAGAAATTTGTTGGGTCCAGATAATCGTAGGTTACTTCCGATCTATGCGAAAAGGAATGGCTTGATCTTTCTCTTCCATGGAGTTCGTTCCGTACACGTAAATTCTCCGAAGGGCAAACTTCGAAACCTGGCCTGATAACGTAATTGGCAATTAAAGTCAACGCAGCCGAAGAACACGTTGCACTCGAAAGATAGATGCGCGATGAATTATGCAAAGGAACGGCGACGTTTGAACTTTTGATAACAAGAACATAAACGTAAGTTCTACAAAGGATTTACACCAACCGCTGCATCGTTGACCTTTGGAAATGAGAAACTATAATTACCGTGGCTTAATACATAGACGCCCTCGAACCCATTGATACGTTCATTTCGACGATTAAGTTGATTTTCAACTGTGCTGCTTCCATGAAATTCACGGACGTTCATCCTCTGTCAGTCTCAACAGTCACGATCGCTGAGGTAGATCTTATAAATTCATTCTATTCGACGCTCCATAGCCATAATTGTAACCTTTAACAAGTTTTAAATACGATTCAGAATGATCCATGAAACTCTTCATTCGAAAGCTGTTCTGGTCGTCCACTCCATTATAAATCCTTTCTGACGAGTTCAAATGTAAATGCGCGCTCGCATTAAACGACTCCCCGTCGAGTGTCCTAAAGGATTGTAAAAATTGAATTTGGAATGACTTTTTATAGACGTAACTGAATTTTTAGTAATGTCCATCAGAATTATCATTTTCCACGCAGCAAATGTAATTAACGTTATATGTTCGAGACAAATTAAATTTAAACAATCCTCGGAATTTTCTATATACATTCATAATTATATGCAATGTTTAAGAATACACAGTAAATGGCTAAAAAATGACGATTCTACTTGAAAACAAAACGAAATTATAGAACCTCTTATGTTTACCGTGTCTAAGCTGTAAAATAAGTAATATCAAATAGAATTTTCATAAAGTGATAAATAAATTTTCGAATTTACAGCTGTACAGTATATTTCCCACAATTTTTTTTCTAATCTTAATTCTCGAAGGAACAGTGAAGGCTAGATTTCGTCGGTCTCGTGCACGTAACGTTTGGCTTTCTGGGTATGACTAGCTAAAGGTACATTTAGATCCAAATTATTACAATAATGATTCGTTTATCTGCAATCTGATTAGAAGACTAACGTTCGATATTTAAATTTTAAAGGGATTTCTACTATTCTTGTTTATCTGATTAGAAGACTAACGTTCGATATTTAAATTTTAAAGGGATTTCTACTATTCTTGTTTACATCGAGTGATTTAAGACGAAGCTTACAACGACGTGTGGACGACTTGAACGTTAACAGAATTTGTCTTGGCTTCTCGTCGGCAAATAATTTTCGCACGACCGGCATTTCGTGCCAGACGCGAAAGAAAGAAGCGATTCGTCCGCTGATATCACCTTATCGCGTTAACCTCCTTAAATAAATCATTGGAGATTTAGCGCGTCTGTGCTTTCGTTAACCAGTATTGCAAACTGCGAGATGGTAGATACACAAAACTTAAATTTGGCGAAAAGTAAAATGGACTCCACAATTATTATGGGTGATAAATCTAACAAGTAAAACGCAACCATTCCACCATGTCGGTATTTATTTTTTATTTTAGGAATTTTAGCTGCAATTTTTGGATAAAGGTTGCGCGAATTCATAATAGGCTAGCAATAGAATACTATGTTCACATTGTTATTTTATAATCCATTATAATCCTGGTTTTGTATTTATTCGATAGATTTCTGACTTTTTAGAAATAGAACATTGTGGTATTTCGTAAGATTATATATAGTGATTTAAATGCAAAAGAATTTTTGACTACGTAGTAAAATATATAAAACACGACGAAGGTATTAAAACGGACTAGGAAAATGTCAGTTATTTAACAGTATTTCTCACAAAGGAATTGCATATGATATGGTTCTCACTGTTTTACAAAGTTTCTTATGGAAATGTTAGTAAGTTTACAATTCCATTGCCAACAATTTTAATTAAACGATGTTCAAATGTAGTACATGCATAATATGTGTGGATAATCTTTTAGCAATTTTTAACTTATCCCTTCGTAAAATTCATCATTATCTAATGTTCCTTTTCGTTACTTAAGATTTCGTTTTGTCTCAAAGTAGTTAAAAAAATTAAAAATAAATGTAGGTTGAAAATTCTTAATGTTACTTGAATTATTTTTTTGTTGCTATTACGTTCTTATTTACTAGTTTTGGTAATTATATTATTATTACTTATTTAATAATTTTGTTCTATGTATTATACGAAATTATATAATTATATCACCACTATTATTCACCACATTTTATTCGAAACATTCAAGCTGTCTAAGCCAATGACGTCAAAACCTGTTTATCTAATTTTACAGAAACGGGTGCAGTATTTACAATAGGTCGCAGCCGGTTCGCAGACAACATTGCATCGCACTTCTTCATACGAAAAGACTCGGTGATTTCCATTACCTGTGGTGACGAGCATTCCGCTGTCATTTGTCGTAAGTTAATTAAATCTTTTATCATTCCATAGTAACCATGAAAGGTTTATATTAAATTCTCCAATTACACCGTTTCCACAATAAAATTCTATTGAAAAAATTAATTTCAACTACACACCCAATTATTTTACAAAGTATTTGAAACTACAAAATACTAAAGAATTATAAGCAGTTAAAACGTCTGTTTACAAAGAGTATACTCCGGAAAAAATATAATCTTCTTTTCTATTTTTAGATACATTGTTTCAATCGATGCTACAGAGTCATGTACACGTTTCTATGAATTGGTTTCGCATGTACAATCCACGAATTTATGCTATTTCTTCTTCAATGCTATTCCGTAGTCACAGACCACCTATGCGATAGCTTCTATCTAATAAAACTGTACAACGTGACTCAATGTGCCTTCTTATGACTCGTAATTACGCGTGACTATGCAACCTTCCCTAGATTATGCCCTGTGTTAAGTAGATATTATGTGCGTTGGCCTATTGACTTGGGCACGACTGGTCTTGATTTTAATGGAAATCAATAGACAAACGCGTGAATGACCGTCATCCTTCGGTGATACGGAAGTCACGAGTCGCCATGTTGGTACCATTTCAGCTATGTACCTACATCTATTTTTTTCGTACAGAAATATCTTTCGGTGGCTACTAAAAATATTTTTCAGCTACTTTTTCCACTTATTTTTATCCCGCGACAATGTTTACACTCTCGTTTTAACTTCTTGCATGTCAGACGGTTTCTATCGTACAGTTTACCTGCGTCAAGACGGCGTCACGATTTATAGACTCTGCGAATATTGTGAACCACAGTCTCTATCAATACAAAATTAATAAAAAGCGTAAAAGTCACAACTGGCTAATCGATACAATTTAGAATAGAATATTTATTCGTGAAATTATCATAATATAACCTCTAAATGATGTATCTCACGTATCTTCTAAGAAAATTTTTCCTTTACGAGTCTAGTTCACAATTTACTTTAAATTATTTTTCATTGCCTATAGTCTAATTCAATCACTTGCTACAGGCTATTGATTAGGAGTTTTCGTAAATATTCCCGCGAAATTGTACTCTGATACGTCAGTTTTTACGTAACGTAGAGGGGGGCTAAAGCTCACACGGATAGCAGCTTCTGTAACATGCCTCGCGAAGAAGTTACAATCGATCTGTACTTATATGTATAGGGATAGCCACTGTCCAGTAAATCGATATGACTACGCAGTGCTCGTGCACGTAACATACCAACACAACCAGGGAGGATATACTGTTATTATCAACAGTTCCAGTTAATCGCGGAATAATCTGAACACGTGAACTTTTTTGCTCCGTAAATAAAATACCGTACAGAATAATGCATTATCATACGCCACCTACGGTTTTTGTGGCTTGGTAGAATGGAACGAAAATGAAATGCGCGCAGAGGTTCTTTAGACATTTTTTTAACACCCTTATTCCAACGCAATTACTTATGGCGCCAGTGGGTTTTGGCGTAGAACAGTCAACAAAAACCCAAATTGTTTTATTCAGAGTAAATTACAAATTTTAAACGATGCTTACTTGAAATACTTAATATTTACAATTAGTAACACAATATAATTTAATACCAAAAATAATTCATTTTTAAAACTTTATATTTTAAAGTGAATATGATCATCGTATATTTTAGCGTAAGATTTAAATTCACTCAATTCAAGCTAATTACAAAAAGAAGGTACCGCGTTGAACATCAGAAATCTAATAAACATACAATTTAAACATTTATAACTCACTTGACTGCAGTGAGACATAATTATTGCAACTTACAGAAAAGGAAAACATCGTATGTCCAATTTCACATGTTTACAACATTGTAAAAAATTTAATAGAATTATAATAGAGTGCATACTGAGTCTGTTTAATCTAAAACTTCGTTAATAAACAAAGGATATATCTATTTTTGTGAATGTAATCTAAAAGAATGTGAATTTACATACACCTCCGTAGTGTAATAACAATCACCGTTTTCGATTTATACAAATAATCTCCCACTGTCCGTCGTAGTACTCATATCATGCATAAATAAAAACATTATAAAATTTGATATTTAATATACTAATATTTTGAACCGACGTTTTAAATGAGAAAAATGGTTTCTTTATTCCATTTCAGAGACTGGTAGGCTCTTCATTTTTGGAAGTAACGATTGGGGTCAACTAGGACTTGGTCATAAGAATCACATTAGCAAACCATCATGCGTGAAAAGTATGTATCTCTATACCTACTCTATCATTAGAAATGTATTAAAGGTTTTTTACGAAATTGGCAAAAGTTTCGTTGTATTGTTTATTTAGCAGAATCAAATTAGGTATTCAAAATAGAATCTTTTTACGAATGAAACTTATTTCTTTATATTAACTATCAATTAATAATATTTTCAATTCCTCTACGTAGCAAGTAAATATTAATTAATTTGACAATTTGCGCTCATAATCAGAAACTGTAAAGTTAAGTCTGAAATGATGCATGATACAGTTTCTTCCGAGTGTGTCATAATAGAAGGGTCATTTATAAAAGGGTCTAAAGGAGTACGTACCTTTCGGAGGTTCAAAAAATCGATTTTTTTTATTTGCTTAATTAATCGTATATATTATGAAGAATATTCTGTATAAGTTTTATGAGAAAATTCCGAAAATTGATGAAGTTTTGTTTTAAATTTTAAGAGCGTGTCAGGGCAATCTATAGGGCAGGTGAAACTTTAAACACGTTTTTATCGAAACACACATTTTGAAGACTGTCCGCACCATAACTCTGTCAGTTTTCAATATTTTTCACCAAATTTGATGTACATGCAGCTGTTATGACTATTTTCGACATACCGAGTCATATTTTTGATCTCTTAATTTTTCAGATTTTTATTCATTAATAAAGTAGCGAATTTTTACGTAAAATAAGATTGTATTCTATAAGATGGAGTAATTTAATCAATTTTTCAAAATGAAAAGGTTGGCCTCCGATAGGTCATAGCCGATATGATAAAATTTAATAAAATCCCATCCATTTTCAAATCGGACCACAATGGGAACATCAATTATACTGACAGTGCAGCTATACACATACATATAGTATGTATGTTTATATGTAACATCGACAATTTTATAAAATAATCTTCAATGTATCCCGTTTTTAATAAAGAAGGAAGCTAATTTAGCAAATCAATTCGTCGAATAGTTTTTCTGGAATAAATTTTTGAAAAATGTCCTGTTTTTCACGGTACAAAAGGTATGTACCCCTTTAAAGATAAAACGCTGCATTAGTAATCACACATTTATCCGTTTGAAATTTTGCATACATGCTCGATGTTGGCCGAATTGCAGTATTAATATTAATTAGATAATGTTAAATAAGTGTTCTTATAATTTTCAGTTTTGAAACCGGAAAAGGTTACGCACGTGGCTTGTGGGCGAGCGCACACTCTGATTTGTACAGGTAAGTTATATTCTATGTCGATCTTCATTTCAAACACCGAAATTCTTGTACGTAGGATAACTTTGTGTAATTATGTGCATGACATAGCATGTTGCGGACACTTCTATCACGCCAGTCATTCAACTTTCAATTTATAAATAGTTCCCCAACGATTCTTACCCCGTGGTTGTAGAAATAGCCATTTCACGCATGTTGATTGCAAATGTTAATCTGTTAAACATTTCTTAATCAATAGTACATACCGTTACATAATAATACTTTTACAATACAGACCTCTATTAATGATAATCCATTACTTGTATAAAGAAACATTTATTCTCGCACGACCTTAAAAAACTCTATCTTGGTTATCAACAGGTAATGTGCGTTTCTAAGTAGATAACATAGCTTTTTTTGACGAAGGAAAATCATCAGTTACGTTTTAAGCAACAAAGCATGCCTCAAACACATTTATCATTCTAAAGATTTCTATCTATCATTTCAGACGCCCCATATTATACAGGCGTTCGTGACACCCTCATTTTCGAATGCTAATTACTTTAAAGCCCATTCAATTTTAGAACGCTTATCGAAAGTTAAACTCACTCCAAAACAGCACTAATTACCTCAAGTGTGTCTCGGAAAGGTGAACACTTTCAGTACTTTTATAGTCTTTCATTTTTAAACAGATATGGACACAAGACGCTTTAATGTGTCGAATAATGTAATATTCGGAAAGAAAACAATCTGATCCTTATTTCTACATGTTCATCTTTGGAACATAATTTCACCCCTAATACACGAATGTCAATCGATAAAATAAATATAGTGTAGCTGACTAATTCTAATTGTAAGTCTCAAATGTTTGTTGGATATAAATGGTATTGAGATGAAAAGCACAAAGAATCAGGAAAGAAATACTGCTTTAATTAATAATACATGGACTTTCGTTCAATACTATTCACAGTTAGTCACTACGACTAGTAATACAGTTTAACAACGAGCCTTCTCGTTCGGTCATACAACTTCTGCCCGTTTGTAAATATTATATTTGATATATTTTTCAGGATTTTTAATTTATTTGAAACTTTCTCAAATTTAATATAGAGTGCATGGATAGTATTCTCCATCTTAACGTCGTCTATCTAAGCGTCAACGGTGTCATTACTATGTACATATTAAGTGCATCAATAAGTAATCCACTATTATTTCTAAACGCATGTTTTCTCGGAAAGAGCTCAAACATTTATGCTACGTTCATAATATTTGTTATTTGCCTCCAACATCCTATGTCATTTTAACTAAACGAAAAATTAGAAAGGTATTCTGAATTTAAATAGTCCTACACCTTTACTGTAACCATAATGAATTACTCATTAGTACATTAAATAATTATGAGCGACTTCACGCAATCTCGCTAATTCCGGTACACTGGAATCTGTGAGAGTTACCCTAAATCATACAGTCAATTTCGGAAGTTTCAATGGCCTTAGAAGTTTCAGAAGCTGTCATCAGCTCCAGAGATTTCGACCATCTTCGAATACCTCAAATGCTGCGCAACATCTCTTGGATGCCGATGTTAAAGTGCAAAGTGACGATGTTTCAGGTGCTCAGAAGGTTTTCGCTTGTGGTAGCGACCAGGAGGGACAACTGGGCCGTGGAACTTCCGCGGTAGGAGATTCAGCGAGTTCGCCTGTGCTGGTGTACGACACAGGATTGACTGGACCCAAGATAGTTGAACTCGCAGCTGGTTCCCATCACTCCCTTGCTCTCACGAGCGATGGCGGCGTTTTGGCGTGGGGTAGCAATCTTGAGGGTCAGCTTGGACTACCCGATGTCTCCGGCTTGATGAACAAACCGACAAAAGTGCACATACCTGAACCAGTGAAACAAATCAGCGCCGGCTATTACCATTCGTCTTTTCTAACAGGTGATTTCTTGTTGGAACATATAGAATCTGGACCCCAGAGCCAGAGCATATTAAGTCACACTTACAAAACTATAGAGACGAGCAAATCAAAGACGTAAAAACTTTGTAACTTTGGAATCCTTCGGTAAGAATTCATCGAGAAACAATCGCTACCTTCGAACTATTGAATGGACCTAAGACAATCCTGGATATGTAGAAACGGTGAACATTGCATTAAGAGTACCCTACGTGACGGATTTTATATTGTTTAGTTCGGAACAAAATATGGACTTAATATTTAAAAGTAATTTTGACACTATTACATTAAAAACTAAACAACTTAGAACGAAATAATTTTTACTATCGGAAGCAGTGGAAAATTTGATATGTGAAACATGTAAAAAGTCATTTTTTTTTTAAAGTGTACTTAATACAGTCTGGCTCTGGAGTCCAGATATTCACTTTGTATCCAAAAGTAATACCTCAAAGTATTATTAATATCTGTTAGGAATATAATAATAAAAATCTCGGATCATATCGGATAAACAATTATCGAAACGCAGAACGAGTCACGAATGTTTTTTGAAAGAAATAGTGTAAAAGAAGCACGAAAAAATATACCGTCCATTAGTCTTAAATGAGTTTAAAGTAAATTATGCGATACTTTAATTGACAATACAAGGTATTGGTCTTGAAATACGTAAAGATAATCCAAAATATAAAATTGTAGACGAAGATGATATATTAAGAATAACAAATTACTTTATTTCTCATTGTTTTATGGTATACATATATGTATTAGACTTCGTTTCTCTTGAACCGATTATTATCAAAAAAATTGCTTATCAGACTTGTTTCCCTTTCATTTCGGATGATCGGAGCTCTACTATATTTTATATTTGGTTACATTGTATTGTATCATACACATATTTATTGAACAGAAGAATTAATTACGTGAACGTCGGTGAATTTATTCCTGATTGGAATTTCATATTTTTGATATTATCTTATATAAAATTAGTAATCATTAAACACAAGAACTTTCTCTACATTTTTCGTATACAACGAAAAATCTCAAAATTTCATAAAGAAAATTTATTCTGTTTTTAGACTATTTCTTGCAAACAAATGCATTAGTTATTACAACTAATGGTTCTCGATTACGAAAGTAAGATAAGAAAACTAGGTCGAGTTTCATGCTGTTGTTTATGGAAAATGTGTCACCGTGTTGGAACTTCTAGGGATTGAATTATGTTTCCAGAAAGCGGCCTCGTTTATGTCTGTGGTGAGTCGGAAAGCGGAAAATTGGGGATCGATGCGAAATTTTCGAAGCAGTTGGCACCGAAACAAATGCAATTACCTGTGCCTGCAGTCCATGTAGCTTGCGGAGGTCACCATACTGTTATTTTCGCTGGTATGAGACGTAATATTTATTCATATGACAAAAATTATAATCTTGCCTATGCGTGTTTAACGCTTCTGTTACGCTGAGCGCAAGCAAGGCGACCGCCGTCATTAAATATAATGGACTCTAACTATGTATATTGCCACTAAACATATTGCCACGCGAGGCACTTCCCCTTCACGTGTATTTTCGAGCACACAAATTCGCTTTCCCACCACGTTGCGTACGCCGACGCCTCAACACGATCCAGCTTTTGCGCAGGCGCCGAGACCGAGACTATGACGGTAAAACTTAGCATGCATTTTACTCCCCTAGCCCGACCATGGCCATATAGTTAGAGTCCACTGTATACCACTGCTGCCGCTACGTGTTTTGCTCAACTAAATATTTCGCTTCCTTATTGAAAACAAAACAGATTTTGTAACTTTCTTTGACGCTTTCCCTAATAGAAAGGTCTGCTATATTGCGTGCTGCGGTTAGATTTTCAGACAGACCCATCGTTTTTGAAATAAATTGAAAAGTATAAAAACATGAAAAATATTTAGATGTCTATAATATAAGAAGAATTTATATTATTTTGTTTGGAAGAGTCCAGGGAATTATTTCGTGTCAAAAGCAACTAAATAACTATTACTCCAAAAGCACAACACATTTCTAAAGTTGAATATTTTCAATTTTTTCAACATTGATTTTTTTTAAAATTGTAAAAAATGGTTTGTAGATTCGCATTCAGCTCATAAAGCTCTACCAGAAGCGTCTGTGAAGGTCACAAGGTCGAAAAAAACTTTAAATTTGTTGAACAGTGTTACTAGACCGCTGCGATTTCTTAATTTACAGACAATGGAAGTTTGTATTGTACCGGAAGTAATTCAACTGGCCAACTCGGGCTTGGAACAAACGTTACGGAACTTTTCACGCCGAAACTTCTTCCACGCGGTGCGCTGCAAAATGAAACTGTTAAACAGATTGCTTGTGGAGAAAGTCACACCGCTATTGTCACTGGTAACTCGAAATACTACATAGTTTTTTAATCTCACAGAAATTGTAACAGATTGGTATTACAGGAATGATTAAAAATTTCAGAATTCTGCACCAAAATTTTTCCGAAACATACCCATACAAAAACAGGCAAAGCTTTAATTGGTTAAAAAATCACTGCGACTTAAATGTACAATAATAATATATTTTAAAGGGGAATCGTTTATTCATATCAAATTCATGTTCTATTTTTAAGTTTTGTAGGTTTCTACTGCTTTCTAATTGACCATTTTTCTTTTTCAACGCAACAGTAAGACATTATACGATTATTTTTAAGATTCTACGAAGAATTAAACACATTATCCGTTATCTAATGTTACTTAGTATTAAATGAAGTTCGTGTATTTTTATGTTTGTATTTCCAATTTTCATGCCAGAATCTGGAAAACTGTTCACCTGCGGGGATGGAAGATATGGAAAACTAGGTTTGGAGGAAAATGAGAACAACGTTCACGAATTAACTTTCGCACCGAGATACAAGGAACTCATCGTCTCTAACGTAATTACGTCACAGACATGTTTCCCGCGTGTTTCTAATTATTTCGAACCATTCGACTCGAGTTACATTTGAAAATTTTTCCATGATTCTGAAATTCAAGGTTGCGTGCGGTGGCTGCCATACAATTTTGGTCGGCCGCAGACGGGAGTCAAATAATGCAACAGACAAGGAAAAGGAACTAATACAAACGGTAATTAAAATTCAAATGAGTATTATCTGTCATTCTAAATAATAATCTTGCTGTTTTACGTATTTAAAAAGTCTTATTTCAGTAATGTTTTTCCGTAAATGTTTTGTCCATAAAGTAATTTTCAAATGAACTGGTTACAATGCTGAGTTTCCTAATTAGCGAAATTAGACACATAACTATTACGGTATAAAACAGTATAAAATACTAATTTATTTTAGGAACATGTTCAGAAAAGAACCTCTTTGCCACCCCTGAAAGTTCCATTGACCAGACTACAGAACGATGCACGTGAAGAAAATAAAAACGAAAATGAGAAAGAACAACCGAATCAAGAAGCAAACGTGATAGAAACATCGGCAGGCTCAGCGACGACAGAATCGAAGATGGAAAGTGTTCAAATGGATGCAGAAAATAATCGTGAAAATGTCACGAATGGTGATACCGATTTGACGGACAAAATCATGGAAACCGAAGATAACAAAAAGTCTGCAGAAGATTCAACAAAACAAACGACATTGGAAGGTACATCGAACGAAATATCACCGGAAGTCACGACGCAGGAAGTACACGAAAGTCCCGCGGAAGAATCTAAACCAGAGAATGATAACAAGGAAGCAGGAAATAATAATAAAATGTCAGAAATGAAAGTGGACGAGGAAAACAATATCCAAAAAGCAATGGAAGCTGAAATTATGAATGGTGAGAACGATAATCAAAAGAATAATAATGTAGCGGAAAATGAAGTGACAAAAAATGGCACGGAAAGTAACAAGGAAGTGGTGAAAGGGAGTAATACGTTGGATAATAAAGAGAATGGAAACGAAGAACATAAACCGAAATCGGAGAATATGGAAACAGTATCGAACGATAAAGTTATAGAAGAAAAAGTCTCGGAGATGTCGACTTCCGGTTCTACACCACCGCCGAAACCGCCGAGGCTAAAACCTGGAAGTGGTAATAATTCGCCCACAGAAAGAACATCCTCGATGGAAAAAGAAGATGAAACCAGCGATGGAAACGTGATGACAGAGGAAACGCTAAACAAGGAACCGGACATAGTTAATAACAATGAATCCACACAGAAACATGAATCGGGTTCAGTGAAGTCTTCGAAAAGTGAAAGTTCCAGGTCAACGAGATCGAGAGTGGGTACCGAAGAGACGATAGAAATCGATAAACAAAATAACAAGGAGAAAATCATCGAGGTGAAGAAACTCGCTAACGACAATAGTCAAGATGACGCGGACGTTGTGCAGTCGCCGGCACCGAGAACTGGTAAGAAAATGAAACGAGAGTATTTGAGCAAACAGTAATAATAATTTGATAATAAGGAATGGTGACTTTGAATACTAAAAGAAACTAAGATAAAAATCTTGAACTTACGAAACGTTAATTTAATAAATAACATGATGAATTATGAAAGCATCTTCACATTTTTTTAAGAGTATGAAGAACTTATGGTAACTGTAACAAATAATTCCTTTGATGGATTTTAATATACGTAAATCATAAAAATTCTAGACGGGGAAGACAGTTTTGTTAAATTATATTGAAAATTTTACAGACCTCCTTAAGGATTATAGAAATTCAATCACAATTAATTAACCCTTGGCACTCGACTGTCCCCTCTGAAGGGACAAAATGTATGGAAAATTAGAAATTCCGAGTGGAAAGGGTTAATTATTATGTTATTAAACAGATATCGTAGGAACTCAACGAGATATTATTAATTAATCAAGTTATTATTATAATTTATAGAAACTGTTAATAATATTAATGCTCTTAAATTCATTCACTGAGTTCGTTTAAAATATGATATATTTTTATTATTTCCACTTATTAGCCAAAATGACGAAGATGTTCAAGGGGAAGAGGCAGCAAGCAATGGAGAATGGCAGTAAGATTGCCAGTAGTGTAAACCATAAACCTAAGGTACTCAACAAGTTTTTATTTATCTATTACTGATAGAACGGAATTATCTATTACTGATAGAATGGAAATAACGAAATTCCCACAACTTTTTAGCAGCTCATATATACAATTCTTTCAACATATTCAATATCGGATTATTTTTTGCTGTCTTAACAAATTTTTAATTCTTATTTGATATTGAAAATGTTTTAAAAAATCCGATTTAATAAAAATATCTTCTTCTATAATAATAAAATAATACTTCTAAAATTAATTCTTGTCATTTAGAAAGATAGAAAAGTGAAATACTCTCTATTCTTGAATAATGGAGGTTTTGGTATTTTCTTACTGTATCTTTAAAAAGATTCATTTAACCGATAAATTTTCTTTGATTTCAGTCGAAAACGTGTACCCTCCTGTGATCAAGAGTTCTCCGAGGATGTATTATACTTCATCAGATTTTTTATAATGTGTGTATGATGAGCATATAATCGGGACCAAAGAATAGTAAAGTGATTTCGGTTGCAGCCAATGACATCTTTTCTTTCCACTGTTCATGAAATAACAATGCTCACACACATATCATATCAAAATTGTATTACATTTATTCATATTCCCTCTCTTTTTATGGGACATTCCACACTTCCAAAAAGGAATAGGAAGGATTATTGCGATGTACACGTGTCTGTAAATCGTTAGTTAAGAAGTATTTGTAAATACGAAATAAAGCGTATAACAAGAAAAGTGATCCGACGCAACTGACTGAGCTTGACGTACAAACAAACGGAATTAACGATAACTGTAACATCTTTCAAATTAAAGTTGATCACATCGATTAAATTTTAAGCCACTGTCGCGTGTGATGATTTCAAACATTCTTTTGTATAACCAATATGTACAAATAAAAATAGACATAGAGGGAGCATTATACGTTAATTATGTTCACGCCACTTATTGTAAGGTACATTCAATGAAATAGTAATTCTATATGAAGTTGATTTCATCAATTAAAACTACTCGAATAATCTAAACAAATGATTTGTAGCTTCGTATAACAATTTCTCACCTTTATCACTTTTAGATCTTAAGTGACTTTTACTGCAAGACGTAAACAAGGCAATTAATTAATTTATATTCTTTTTTTCAAAGTCTATCATTTTTATAGCTTCGGTGGAAATAAGTGTACATATGTTAATCGCCGGTGATATTAATGTTAATCTGTTGAATGATCCTTTCGTTGCTGGGATCTTCATTTTTTTATTCACTGTGTACTTTCATTTTTTTTATCACTGCTCAGACCATTTACCTAATATTTTTCAACCCAATCATATTCTCCCCTTTTAAAAAATGTTTCTATATTATATTTGAGAAGAATATAAAGAAATTATTCACTAGTACGTGTATTTCACTTTTCTTATCGTTATTTGAAATGTATTTCTGATCCGAGGACCGTAACAGACTTAAGAATAATTAAGTTTCATAATGTAATCTACGTTTATTGGACGGTATGAAATTCGTTTACTTGATTTCTAGTTCTGTTTTTTACACAGGGGCGTCAACTTCTTTAGGTCTGCTGATGTAACAAAGAAATTGCGCTTTTTCAAGTCGTAACGGGAGAACAGGAACTGTGGCAAATTGTCAGATAGCACGTATAACTTCTTCTGTACTTTGTCGATGGATAAGTCGTTAGGAAAGACCAATGTCGTGTTATCATCAGCGGCTAGTACTGAAAAAGAAAGAGTGGATGTCTATTATAAATTAAAGTATTATTGTGTTTTAAATGCTAGTAGGATTTCTCAGAATCTTGTTACATAATGGTCGATAGCCGGGCTGTAAAATACCTACAAGGAGAAACCAATTTTCTATAATACGATAGATGTTTATTATCTTCTACTAAAAACTTTGTATGAAAGCGATAAACATTACTAATATTTTACCAAAAAAACACAATTATACCGAACATTTAGTAAAAGAAATTAAAAATTTGTGTACCATCGATGTCATGTATACTCCTTTTCAAGAACTTTTCATACGACCCACGTACTTCGAATCATATTCAACTTGTCGTTATTTCCCTCAATCATAATATGTTTCATAATATTAAATAATACATGAAAATGACATTGTATTGTTACGCTACCAACATAATTTCAATATTTTGATACCACACCATTAAGCAGAATTAAAATTTATACACATGAAATTGTTTAACGACTCTCATAATTAGACTTCGGGTGTTTATGCACAAAAAATACACAATATTAGGTATTAGCAAAATACATTTTGCAATTATTGCGGTATATTATAGTTCGAATTACAATAAATTATAAGCATTTTCTCCAAATTCGATTGTGTCAATTGCTGACGTTTCTCTGTGAAAAATTAACATAAGCATATGCATTATGCAACAAATGCAAAATAAAAAATGCATTTTTAGAACTTTCTAACCGCAAAACGAATCCCTGACCCTGTCCCATTGTTTTATCTGTTTCTCCTAAAAACATGCATTTGCCTAAACATTCGGAATCTACTCATAATCAATTTCATACGAAAGCACGAAATCGATACTGTAATAGTAATTGTGGTGTTAATTATGGAGTATGTTTGTCATTTATCTTTTTATAATTCTGTCAATTCCTAGAACTTACAATATGACTACTGTCTTGTTCATCTTTGTTACATATTTTCCAAAACTGTTGTAACAAAAAATTAATTAGAACTGAAACCTTAAACTCGTTGAAGTTTTTTCAGTGCCCAAGATGTAAATTTCACACTTAAAGAAACACTTGAATTTTTATTAAATTATTCAATACTCACCGAATCTTTCCGGGTTCAATTTTAGGCTGGTGTCCCAACAAGCAATTCCGTTTCGATTGACTTGAGTGAAATAATCGATACCGGTCTCCGGATCGATCACGGAGGAAGGTCCCTGTGTATTCGGTCCCTTAGAGCCCTCAATTTTGTAAGCGTAATAGTCCTTGGATTTGTTCAACGTGTCGTCTTGCAGAACTTCCGTGGACACTGAGAACTCTGTGATACCTGACATTGCGTGGAAATACAGCGTTCTGTATTCATCGGTTTGCGGCGAGGACAAAGACAGTCCAAACACACCGTCAGTCCATTGGAAATTATAACCGCTGACATTATAATTGCCTAGAAATAAAATATCATTAACTTTTACAGACTGTTAAAAATCACTAACTGTGTAGGTACTTATGATAGATAGACGAATAGATGAAAAATTGCAATACAATACAATATCATTTAACCAAAATGTACTTTCAGTATATTCTTTTCAGGGTTTAAGAATAAATAGATGCAGAGTAATTTGCTGTTCTTAAGCGAAAAACAAGTAATTGATAAATCTCGAAGTTTAATTATCATCGGGACGAATTATTCAGACGTACTCTGCAAACTGAGTAAAATATGAATTTACTTTGCAGAACAGCAATGCTCACAGAATTTAGAGAAAATGAATTTTAAGATACGTTCGATAAATGAAGGAGAATGTACCAATATAATAGCAATTTTCGAACTTTCGTTTCGTGCTCAGTGAGCCAATAGTGGCCCACAGCAGGCATTCTGTTCTAGTTGTTGACATTTTCAACACATCGTAATATTGTTTAATTCTGAATATTCAATAAAAGAAATTTACTCTGCCAAATATTGTATTTTGTATGTCATAATTTTCAGTTTTATTAATCATATTAACAGCTGTATTCTTGCAAACATATGGAGTCCTACATTATAAATATGATTATAAATGTGAATTGTAGATCATTGATAAGTTACCTATCGACGTTATGTAACATGTAATACAATAGAATCTTTATCTAGATCTTTTCAGAGTTAAATTTTATCTACCAGACTTCAACTACAATGTAAATTCAATTTTTTTGTTAAAAAATGTGGAACTAAATTCATTTTGCCTTGCAGTCACAGATACAATGTTTAGAGGATACTTCCTGCATATTATTATCATACACACATATTATTTTTCTTAAAAATTTTTTACCATTCATAGGATCGAAATAGAAGAAATTGTGCGTAAGTCGCCAGGAATCGTTCTTGGCCCAACTGTAGACTACCAATCCGTAACCACCCAAATCAGAAATATAAACATGGGTGTTCTCGCAATTATTTGCGTCGGTATCAACAGCTAAATCAGCGAAGAATGAATTAGGCGTTTGATCTGAGTCTTTTAAAGTGTAAATCCTAAGTACCTGAAATTGTTATGATTTCAATTACTCATTAACCACGATTAGACTGAAGATGTTTACGAACATTCTTATTTTTCCAGACAAAATTTTCAATTTATTACTATCATCATCATTATCAAGGATTTTACTAAGAGTAAGCAAAAAGTAAAAGGGAATGTGTATAAAACTTTGTTATAAATTTTTATTTTATCGTATTCGTTTACACACTTGCAATTACAACAAATGCATAAAATCCGCTGAGGAATTAATAATAGAATTTATAGTTTTTAGTTATAATACTAAATGTTACAGTTTAAATGATAATAAAGTTTAAGTTTAGTTTAATTAATAATAAATGTAAATATTTTGGAGTTTCAGGCGTAAGTTATTTTATAGCCATTGCGAGAAATAGATTTAACAAGTGAATTTCTTACCTCGTCCGTTTTTAAATCGATCACGAAAATTCTTACTGATTGTACAACCGTTGTATTGCCAAGAATGTTATCGATTCCAGTATCGACGCCCCAAAGTCGACCACACGCGTCAGTTCTTACGCGAAAGATACTCACTATGCTACCTGGCATATGAATGTCATTTGTTTGCCAATTAGGATACGGCGTTAATTTTGGAGATTCTATGGGAAGTAACATATATTTATTAATGAATTGAAAGAAATAGTGACTGTAATTATCTATAGAATTTAAAAATACAAAAATACATTCAATAGTTCCATCGCTCAGGATTTCTGCTTTAATACTGAATCAGTTTAATTGATATCAAAAGATTTTAATCCACTGATAACACATATTCCAATTGTCCATATATGTTTCATTTATAAAATGAGATTACTTTTCATTGGAATAAAATTCTTGTTGCAAACAATTCTAGATCATTACTAGATCAATTTAGTTGATATCAAAAGATTCGGATTCAACGAAAACATTCCAATTGTTCTGATATATTTAATTTATAAAATGAAATTCCTGTTAATTAAGTAGCGAACAATTCTGACGGAAAAGGAATCATCTAAAGTTTATATTGTATTTGCATACTTGACTTATCATCCTTCGAGAAGTAATTCAAATTCGACACCACGCCATTTTTCCATCTTGGCACAGTGATGAAGATTTTATCGTCCCACACTTCAAGTCCAAGGGGCATATTGTTTTCCGGAACATAGTCTCCGCTTGACAATAAAGCGTTGCGAAAACTGTCGTTTGGAAAATTATAATCGACAAAGTCCCAAGTATAAAGTGTCTGAAAGTGATGGCCGCTTGCCACTGCGAGAAACGAAAGTAAGAGGAGACGCTGCATGGCTACAAAAAGAATATATTAATGGGATTAATATTGGGTTGAATCAATAGTTCGTTCAGTTTTTTACTGAAAAATGAAAGTGATTGATCTTTTGCATTACCGACCGTATTATAATCTATAAAACATACATATATTATTGCATTCTCTGATCTTTTCTCTTCAGCTTAAAAAACAAATAGTAAACATTGGGATAATCAAACTTGCGTGTGATTAATTTGAATTTGGAAGACCAGAAAGTCCATTTCCATTATCTAATGCTTTAATACTTTCGAATGGGGAGAGATGCTACTTACAATTAGACAAAAAACAAGATTTATGCGTTGTATGGAAACAATGCTGTGAGTGATCATACATGTCAAATATGGTTTTAAAAATTTTAGACGAGAGATTTCACTATGGTCAGGTAGACTTTCTACTGTTGAAAGTTATCAATTTGTCACATTAGTTACAAACAATTAACACAAAAATAGTAGTTGATACATTATTGACTAAACGCAAAAATAAATGTTCAATATTTAGGTCTGGATTTTTCTTCACTTTTATTATACTTTTAATTCGCATAGTTAGAGGTTCATTGGTGACTTCTATTTAAATCACATTAGTTTTTCTTTTTTAAGAGAACTTTCAAAGTTGCAGTTGCTGCATCTGTTTCTATTATGTTAAAAGAATATCATATATTTAATTTCCATTATTCAATTTTTTTAGTGTTCTTAAATTTTATAATTTCATGATATCCAAACGAAGTACGGTGTAACTGTATTCATAAATACATATGTATAGTAGACATTTAACTGTTAATTAATTTGTCTATATATTACCTACTTTATGAAGTATAATACTTTTGGTTTCAATGATTTTGTTACTTTCTCTAACACAAAACTCTCATCGTGTTTTGAAATCGAATATTCTAATGTACAACATCGTAATACTATTATGTAGAAACCTGTTCCGATGATTTCGTGAATTATTCATGAGTATAAAAATCGTGTATTGAATTTTAACTTCTATCAGGCGATTTGCAGTTTTGATTTCATATTAATAATACAAAATGATAGGGAACTTTAACCGTCGAATATACTAAAATTCAAGAAGTAATTTATATTATAATCCATTAAATTTTATTAACAAATATGTGTCGATATTAATTAAGCAATTTTTATTTTTTCTGTCATTGTTGTCAAGGATACTAATACTTGTGAAACCATTATTTTTTCTATACTTTCTCGAAAATGATTAGTGTCCTACAAAAGAAAGAGTCTTGGGAATCACGAGGGATAAATAGTGTAATTTACTGCTTATTAACAATAAAGTTCGTTAGAAACACTTAACCACATGCACAAACTCAATTTAAGTGTGCCATTCTCGTTTTAAATTGTCGTCAGTAAAAACGTCTTACGAAAGATTTGGTCTGATGCCCGGAGGTTGTAACTGTACTCCGCTTCTACAATTCAATGATTGAAGCCTGGAGCGTCACGCGAACACGTTATAATACATGTTCACCTGTTGTTTGTGATTTTAATCACTTGCATTGCGTCTTGTTCATTTGAATATTGTTTTCTGAATAAACAGGACATTTATCATTTCTAATCCTTTAATCAATCAGATTTTATGTAACAGTTTAACACATTTCTTATACTCCTAATAAATATAAGAAAATTCAACTTTCAGTGTACAAAGTATTAGAATTGTTGAAGGTATACGTACAAGACAAAATAAATAATAAGTTGTTATGAATGTTCCAAGTATTCAATGCTGCAATTAATGAAGAATAGAATTGATAGATTACTTATATTGAGAAATAAATTTAACTGTCAGTGAATGGAATGAAAGACATTAACAATAAAATTGACAATTATATTCCAATTTTATGTATTTAATTCTATTCTGAGTAATAAAAGAAGTTTCGAGCGTAAACTCAAGAGCATTAATCCGACAGTAGTAGCAATAAGAAGCATACGAATAAAAAAAAGAATTAAATTTATCATCTAAAAATTAGAAAAATAGTACTGATTACTGAATTACAGATATTTCTCCAAACACCCATTTTGACAATTTCAAAAGCTACAATAATAAAAAGCGATTATTTCATTTATTTAGAGAGATAGTAAATTAAAAGTTCTAAAGAAAGTTTATTAAACTTCGCTATTTTCATTCATATATATTCTATACTTCCAGTTTCATTATAAATGTGTAAAATCCAGGGTAAATTACCTTGAGTAATTCCTACAAGAATCACAAGGAAAACTAGACTGCTGAATATATGCATGCACAACTATAACAAATATAATAGACGGTAAAACTAACATCAGATTTAATAGATTTTCTGTCTTACTCAATAAAAGTCAAGGAATGGTTCAATCTTCGCATCAATTTTTTTAAATGACTTTCAAAAATATTATGTTTCATAAATTTCCGCAGTCTGCTAATGACCTACCTTTATTTAAACTTCAACTACGTGTGCACAAACCGGAGTAAGCAGCGCAGTGATCGACGAGAAACGATGAACTGAGCCTGGCTTGATGTTAACGTACCCTGGTCACACCGTATACTCTACTCTCGCACCCGAAGAACGAATTGGCCTTCTACTGGTGACCGTCCACGGCAGAATGCCACTATAGTTCATTCTGGTATAGTACTTTATATAGGCAGAAGTCTCCAAACGACTGTCTGCTGGGATGCTTCGAACGGACACAGAAACCAGATAGATATCTCCTGTTTCGTTTTGTGATTATAATTTAAATGTAAATTTCTAAATAAAAGCACAAAGACATTTACATACTTCGGCAATTAATCAAGTGAAAGACGTTTTCAAATCACGTTCGAATAATCAATTTCTTCGAGCTTTACCAGTGTTTCGAATAAATTATATACAGTTTGCCAAGAAATTTCTAAGTAATTACTCGTTTTCTTTAGTAACTTCTCTTATCTAGGGATTGTAAATTTACCGACTTTTTCAATAATCGGAAATTCGGTGAAATTTCCAATCAAAACCGATTTACCGATATTTTTTCAGGTATTGAAAATATAAGAGTAAGTATTATATAAAATACAAGCAAATAAAACTACTTTGAACAGAAAATATAACACGATATGACACAAAATACGAATATTGGTAAACTATTGATAATACTTGTTACATATGAATTTTCACCATGATAACAGTGAAAACAATCTCAGCTTAAACACATAGGTAAATATTTGTTATTTGTCAACCCTTTTTAACAAATAGGCACGCAAAAAACATAATTTGTCTAAACTTTGGTCTCCTGATTGCGATCTAACTTTTGTACAAAACCATCCAGCTGCGGAAAATGCTCTGTCAGATTTTACACTTGTTGGTCGGGTAGTATTAGAAAATCATATGCCATTTGTATATATTTTTCTCTTACTTTTTCTTCTTGAAGATACGTTTGGATCAGAGTTGGTTTTTCATGGGATACTTCTGTGTTCGCTTTTATTAGGAATCGAAGTTTTTCTTTCATTAATATCGTAGTAAATGTCGAAGAAATTATCGACATTAACCTTATAGAAATTTTGGAATCAGAATAGAATCCCTTGCGCCGCACAAGTATTGTATAAAACGCATATAGGTACACGTCATATTGTTATATATAATTTATCCAATTACCGATAAAACAATGGCGAGTTGCCGGTAAAAAATTGAGGGTATTTTTCGCGATTATAATCCCTACTCTTATTGTATTTACATTGTTACGAGCGACATATAATTAAAAGAAAATGAAGAAATGAATCTACACGAGGTAATTATAAACGAAACATGTTCAATTAGAACTGAAATTATGCAAACTCAGTGTAATGTAAAGTATAATACACAGTATAATTCACAGTGAATTGTGCAATAAATTCATAATACATAATTTCTTCGAGGCAAAAGATTAATATATTTTAATTTTAATAATATATGTCTAAGGTAAAGTAATAAGGTACAGAAACTATTGAAAACAAATAGAATTATTCCATACATTTAATACAGATGATTTATTTTAAATACATATTTATTTCAAATGCAATACTTACTTTCCCTTGAATAGACAACTATGGACTGTTACTGGATAACAATTGAATATTATTCAAATGTAGCACGCGATGTGGAAACTACAAATCAAGCAGGATTTATATTCAAGGGACAGTGTTACGTAAAGGACTTTGTCCACAATCGCAATTTCCGTTAATTGTTGTATCTGCGTTGTGTTGTGTTTCTGTAAAATAGTATCAATGGTTTACAGTTTAAACCGTCTCATCCGGTAAACGGAAATGCATTCAATAGCGCACTTGACGCATAACGTTTTACGCTCCTGACAACGCATCGGAACTGAAATCGCGATTTCGCATGGGGATTCCATAATTCCAATAAATATTTTCACGTGAACAAAATCTACAAAATCTGTATTATAAATTTGTGTAATAGTAAATTGTTAGTATTTCACTTTTAAATTCTATTTATGCAAAGAGGAGTGACGAAAATTATACCGTAAAGTTAATTTGTTATCGACTGCACTGGCCCGGAATAATTAGATAAAAATTAGGAAAATTAAAGAAAAATTTAGGAAATCGTGTCAAGTTAATGCCAGTACATAGTATAAGGATTAATGAATTTTCAAATCATATTTTTTAATTTGTTATTATCGTACAATATGATAATTAAATTAGGGGTGCTTTACTCCTCAGTAGTGATGGAAAGTCACAAAGCCATTACTTTATCAGAATAAAATAATTTATGTCTAAAGTTACTTAAGAGTTTAATGACTTATTTTTGTACACGTTTCGAGTATCTTAAATGCGTATTTAATTACGATTACAGGTAATTTAGCCCCTCATAGGGGCGACTGACATACAGCAAGTTATGACGAAAATTTAATTTATATCAAGTTTTATTCAACCCAATGGTATAATATTCTATAAACCAGCAGTAAGAACTTTTGTAGTTCTTCGTATGAACTTTGAGAGGTAGTTTCAGCCCCGAAATATGAGAACGATCCGAAATAAAAAGATATCCAAAATCCAAAGTAACCGAATTCGGATACCTGAAATCCCTTACTTATAAAAACTATACTACCACAATAATAAGTATTGGTAAACAAAAAATATAATTTTCAAAACAATTAATGACCTTAACAGAATGTGTGTTTACGTTGATAAAAATATTTTCCGGTTGATTTCTGCCTCCTTGACTTTAACTAGTTCCGTATCGCCGTTTTCTGTCAAACACGTGACAGTTAACCGGATCACATAAAAGGATATCCCGCATAAAATCAAGGTAACCGAATCAGGTAGAAAACAAAACTGATTTTCATTCCTTGTTTGGTCTCGTTGTCGAATAGACCAGATCAGGTAGAGCAGGTTTGCGTTCATTACTGATCCCAGCCACAAAATAAACAAAAACGTCGCTCTCTGCGGCAATGAAGCATGAAGAAACGACGTTAACCTTGAATTTTTGAGGACAATGACCACAAATGTAACTGAAACCTGACATATTGTTTCTATCAGGTGTAGACATTACGTTTAGGTCTGTAGTAATAATATTTCTTTTTATTAACTATGTAGTTTAACTAACTCTGAAAATGAATTGGTGTTAATTATGATTCATTACTTACCATTGGGAATTGTGCAGTTGGTAACACCCACACGGAAGGAATAACCTTTGAAGTATTCTGCTTTTAGTGAAATACTTAATACATGGAAGCATACTTTTTTTTATAATTATTAATATTTTCGAAGATCATTTTTAAATATCTTTTTCACTGACAAACAGCCTCAGGCTTGCTATACTATTGCCATGTTAATTGAAACCCTGTCCATTTTATGTTTGTCATAAATGATATTAACAAAATTTTAATATATGTATATACGTATGAACTAGACACTAAAAAAATGAAAAGAGAATTGAATCTAAATTTTATAAGTTTTACAGATTATTTTTTTTACATAGGTTAAACAAAGCGTATCTAGAAAAATAAGGTGTTAAAATTACTAGAAGGATTGTATGAAAAATTTGCATTTAGAAAATCATAATAATGGTAATACAACACTAGCAACAACAGTAATTGTTCTCCAGAATACTAAAGCGCAATTCAGATTTCTAGAAGATAATGATTGTATCTGTCCACTTAATTGTTACGTAGTGATTATTAGATTCAAATTACAAGATCACAGAATCACAAAGTATCACTAACGTTCATAGAGAAAACCTACTAATTGATCATTTCTTGGAATGAATCTCTTTGTAAAGTATATAACTCGCATTGTCGTACAGTTTTACCTGCGTTTTAGAAATTCCAATGATTCTTGAAGTAATCACGGTTTGTATTGTATTCATTCTTATTCCCAAGATCTATGCTCGTTATTCTTATGATACGTTCTTTATTCATAATAGATTTGATATATATATATAAAATAGTTCAAATTCATTATGAACCATTACGTTCATTTATTTATTGTTGTGTCTTTTTTAAGCGCACAAACATGTAAAATGAGTTTATGAAATTAAGACAACTTCATTATAAATATTAATAATATAAAAGTACTGCTATAACATTAAGTTCTTCGTTACATGGAAATATCGAAATATGATAAATATGAAATACGATAGAAGGTCTAAAAAAAATTGAAATTCAGTAAAGATTCAAATTAGGAGTGGACGTTAAAAAATGAAATTTATGTTTTATAAAATATAAGATCTATTTATGCATTCGCATACAAATGGTAATACAAGGCACTTGCTTTACAACAGTTATTTGGCAGTAGGTAACATTCTTAATTTCCTTGTAAACGTCGGTATCAAAAATATTTTTCCAGCGGGTCGAATCATCCGATGGAATTCCATCTTAACTAAGAATGTACCATTATCATGCACAAATACAACGATTGAGTTCATTAGACACGAATGAGCAGCGAATATTGCTGGAACACGAAATCGACATGCTCCAAAATCTGTATGAAGAGGAAACAGTGATTCCTCGGACGCCATTAAAAATCGTGGATGTAATGTAATAAATAAGAACACGGAATGATCGCAGTATTACTTATATGTACATCTAATTACTGTATGAAAATCGATAATCTCAATTTCAGTAATTTTTTCGTCGCGGTATTGTTTGTCTCGCAAACACTTATTTATGTGGCCATTGATTTTCGTTCAAAGTGACGCTTCTGCTTCGATGTCCTTCGGTTTCTTCTTTATCTTATGCGCTTTCCTAAAAAAAATGAACAATTTAAATTAAGTAGATTGAAATTTTTACCAAAAAGTCAATGGAAATAAGAAATATGCTACTCAAAATGTAGGAAAAGAAATCGTTTAACATTCGTTTATTAATAATTTCATTATTTCAAAACTAATAGACGCTTCACTCACTTCCCGAATTCCTCGCCATCTTGAAGCGTCTCCGGAAGCGTGCAACCAACGGTTTCTGGCAAGAAGAGACACAACGCGGCACCAATGAGTGGCAAGATTCCAAAGAACGCCGGTGGTAGCCACGTTTGAATGTGATCCTACAATGAAGTACGAAAACATTAGTAATGCACAATACTTCAAGAAGTAAATAAACAAATGTGGACGGTTATTATGTTTAGAATTCCTTATTGTTCCATTAAAATTAAGGAGCTATAAAACTCTAGAAATTGACATATTTATCTACAATTTTGTAGTTTGAGGAGATGAATATAATATGCGAGTTCTCTTCCATCGAACTTTACACTATTAGCCATGGTACAGTTTGTTAAGTGATCAGACCACCATAACGTCATCAAAAAGATACTGCATATTTAGAAATTTATTTCTAAGTGATACAAATATTTTTCTGATCAACATTTGTCGATATAGACAGAGGCATGTATAAACAAAATTTGAACAATAAAATATTAAACAAATCTATATTGTCTATCGGTTTAAGTAGGATTTCCTACGTATTGACATTTTTATCTGAATTATCCGTAAATGAAAGGCCATTTTCTTGCGAAAAGATGAACTTTTTGCTTGAAACTTGAACTTGTCGCCATTTTGTTATTCTTTAACCAAATTGAAAAAGTCCAATGTAGGACGATGGGCAACTTATTTGTTAAATTTATTTAATACTCCATATTTATTTTTAACGAAAAATTGAAAAAAAAGGTTTGCATACGTTATTCATACATGTCTTTATCTTTATTGAAAAATTTCAGTTGAAAAAATGTTTCACCGCAAAAATGCGGTATTTTTTTAAGACATCAAGGTGGTTAACCCCTTAACACACACGGTACACTCGATTGGCTGCGACCTCGCATTGCACGTTTCAGAGCCTACTATGTTAAAACTATCTGATAAGGGAAACTGGACTGGAACTCAGATAAATTATTTGTATGTTTTTACGCAGTGTGTGCTCTACAAGAAATGTGTACACTGTGATGAATATGACAATGTGACTCGTAGAACTGTTTGACCATACGTATTCTGTTTGCGAAGAGATTTTTCTCGGAACACTATTTTCGAAGTGGTATATACAATGAGCTTCAAATTTAGTAAAAACATTGTTTATGTCGTTTCATCTGTAGCAGAAGACAGCAGACAATCATTTAAACTAATAATCCACCGTTTTTAATTTGAAAAAAAAAGAACTGAAAAGTGTAAAATAACTTTTTGACCCTATACTTGAGTCTCTCAGAACTCACTTTTCATAAATTTCATATTTCAATTTCAATAGTTTAATTTGCATATTTCCATGCACTTTACATATATGCATTTTTATATTAAACTTTCACCTTAAATGCTTTACTATGTATCTTTATGACTTCGTATATTTCATCTGAAATTTAAAACAGCAACGTCTGTAGTAAGTATTAATAACTTTCTCTACTTGTCGTTTTATGAAATTAATCAATTCTGCTTCCTGTGATTCAATTATGAGTATACATTACGAAAAATATTTGGTTCCAATATGTTCTAGAAAGTAAATTTTTTGTCCATTCTTTATTTTCATACATCAGTTTCCTGTTATTTCTGTTATTCTCAATGTAATACAATATTCAGAAAGAAACATTTTCTGCTGATTTTCTTTTCCTAATTGCAAAATGAATTTGCATGAAATCAGAAATCCAGATGTAGATTTTATCATTTGTATCTCATGATCATATCGGTCGTGTTGTAACTTACCAAAGATACGACGAAAGGCGCCGTAATGGAACCAATTCTCGCACACATACTGCTGGTGCCCACACCAATATTTCGAACAACCGTGGGGAACAGCTCACCGGAAAACAGGTAAACCGTTGTGAAGGAAACCGACATGCCAACGATGCCAATACAGACTAGAATTAATCGCAGCCATTCGATATCTGCAAGCATGTAGAACAACAATAAATGGTAGAAACATGTATTCATTATTTATGGTAAGCGCACCTATTATCGTCTACTGAAATTCAAATCATTCTCAATTGAAAGGTAGTTAACATTACTGTGCCTAATTAGCTTCAGATAAAAAGGAAATTGTTTGTGTTTCATGTACGGCAGATTAGAACTGTTAAAATCTAAAGATTTTCAATCGTGATTGGAAAAAAACAAGATAAGCAAAAATCAGAATATTCATGAGTTTTTAAAGTTTTATTTATACGTACTTTTATTAGTATTATTAACAATCCGAATATTGTTGGAGCATTTTTCTGAATTTTTCTTAACCGTCATTATGTTTAAAAAGCTGTCTTTATTATACAAATAAAGAAAGACAGTTTCAAAATATTTATGTTATTACATATTATTTTATTAAGACGATCACGTTTATATACTGGGCAAACAAAGTTCAGCTGTGTACCTTTGCAAATTTCATGTGCCCATTTGTAGCAACTGCACGTTCACCAAGACACAACAAAACTGTTTCCGTTAACAAAAATGTTGGAATCGATTAAATTACTTTAGCACGCCAGTGATTAGATACTCCCAGTAAATGTTTATAGAATTTTTGAACTTTGCCTTCCCTTATTGTGGCGGAAAATTGTCTCAGTTCAACAAAGTATACTATCAAGATTCACTAAAATAATTCTCATTTACTACACGTTGCAACCACACTATTAACAGATTTTTAGAACTTTCTTTGCAAGATATTACGAGTGGTGGTGTTAGATGCAATCATTCTACTATGTAATTAAATATCACTGATTCACTTTCACCAAGGCATTCGATTTATAAAAAAAAAAGAAGAACAACTTACCATTTGAAACTACGATAAGTAAAAGGGCAGAGATGCCAGTAATTGTGTTGCTAGAGATCAACGTGATCCTTCTGCCCAACCTGTTCATTGCCCACCAAGCAACGAAGTTTCCAGGTACCTGTATTGCTCCAGAAACTGTGAAATTCAGGAAGATGTTGCCACCAACTTGCCCTATGTATTGAGACATTCCGAACAATCCCATTCCACAGACGACCCAATTGAAGAAGATCGACAAAGACTTTATCCTCATGTTCGGGGTACGGAAGAGATCCAGGAATGATGCTTTGTCATCAGATGCTGATCGCTTGGAATTCTGGAAAAAATTATTTTTTATTAATAGAAATAGAACGGATATTCGTTAAGTTTATTGGTAGCTTTTATTTTTCTATCGTTTTATTTCGCTTATTGTTAGTCCATTCTTGTCTACGTATTTTTGTATCGTGAACTTGACAAGATCGCGAATATGTTGAAAGTAGAAAAAATCTTCACAAAAGGAAGATAAGTTTATGATATTTTTCAACCTTCTTTAGATCATACCGATAGAAGACATTGATCTTTTGCAATAAAACCAAAATATATTGTAAATTTTAATTATTTGACTTAACTCTCTTTTCTTAAATTCAATGAGCTGCTCTTAAGCTGTATACATACAATTTAAGGATGAACTTTTATAAAGATACATATTCTTACTATCTAAAAATTAACTATCAAAATTGTAAAATTGTAGAACTATTATACAGCATGTCCCCAAAATCGTGGTCAAACCGGCAGGATGGTGATTCTACATGCAAAAATAAATCGAAAGAGAAGAATAACCTTTTTTCATTTAAGGTTTTGTTTTCGAAGAAAATCAGTTTGAAAATTTATCTAAATCACGTGTATTTGGGCTGGCATTAAGTAGAAGCAGCCTGCAATGGCCAGACGGGTTAGCCAAGTCCTATTACCCGTGTATCTAACAAATTTTCAAATCTGATTATAACTCGAAAACGAAACATCACTCGCAAAAAGTTCATCTCTTTTTTGTCGACTTATTTTTGTATGTATAATTGCCACCTGACTGGTCAATAACAAATAAAAAGGTACAATAACAAATTATTTTTGAAAAATGAAATTGTACTTTAAATTCTCACAATCGATTTTCCTTTGAAATAATACACAGTTACATTTTATATTTATACTGCAATTATATAAAATCAAATTTTTCATATTTTTATAACGTCTTAAACGATGAAGCTATTTACCTGATGCAAGCAATGCTGCCTGACCAGCTCTGGAATGTCCTTGTTTTGTATCTTATTAATATTAGCCGCCTTTTGCAGGATTTTACAAGCTGCGCGTTGTTTGCCTAACGCCAGCAACCACCTTGGAGATTCAGGTACAATCCACCAGTAGCTCAGGAGAATTACAGAAGGTAGAGTAATTGCGATTTGAAGGTGTTGCCAGTGGCGGAATAAAAATGCAAGACCAGCCAATGACATGTGGCCCAAACTAAATGGAATTTGATAAAGCACAGTGATGGCCGCCCTCCATTGTGTACCAACGATCTCCATACCTACGAAAATGTTGAAAAATTATAAAGATATTGCATACTTATCCAAATACAGGAAAAATTTGGTAAAGTCGATTACTTTGTCCACAGAAACCAAAAATTTATATAAACTTGAAATTTGTACACTTCCATATCGTAAAGTAAGTATAAGATAAACTCAAATTTTGTACATTATAAAAACTTATAATCTCCTATTATGCTAATACAGTATAATATACCTACCCTAACGCTCATAAGTATTGGCCCTACCATCGAAGAAAGGTTTACGTGTTTTTACTGTACCTTTCACTTTAGAAATCTCCAATTTTGCTTACTTTATGACCGTCTTTATGAAGAACGCTAGTTTTTTTCAAAATCTTCGCATAGTTTTTAGTAAGGTGAATCCAATATGGATGGGCAAATACTTATCGTCGCTATAGTTCTTAAGTGTTCTATTTCCATGAGTTTTTAAACTGAGAAAACTGAGTTTAAAGTTTCTGAAGTTTAATATTATAGAAGCAGAAAAATAGCGAAACAATCAAACACATTATAATATCATCTACTGAATACCTATTTATTACAATGTTTAACAAAATTTAATCTTATTATCAACATAAATTTTTAATTATTATTAATGTTTGGAGATACAACCATTAAGAAAAAAACTTTTATAGTTTCGGAGTTAGGACTTTAAAAAAATACTTGTTTTCTACGTTGAATTTTGATTATATTATGGTGAATTTTAATTATCTGTACCCATGAGACGCATGTAAATTGATTAACCAAATTTTGTTGTAAAATGGAGTTAAAACGGTTAAGAACTCGGCCGACTATATGTAGTATGCGTCGTAGTGTACTGAAAGCAAAATTTCACAGTAGCTTCTAGACGATTTATTCTAATCCATGAAGTAGGAGAGAGTGGAGTAAACACGACCGCGGGGCAATCTCGAACGCAATGGTTACGGTGTGTTAAAAACGAAAACTGATTTTTTCCCTCCACTAGCTGACAGTTTAGGTCGTATCCTGTGCTGAGAAAAAAGTAATAAACAGAGACCGCGCACGCCGTTCAAAATAAAGAAAATTGATTATTTTCATCGTTTTTCAAGTAACATTTTGTCCACTTTTAATTGCGTGTAGTTCCTGTTGGATTAATGATACAAATTAGGATTTATTCAAGTTAAAATAAGCACATATTAAATAACATTTTATGACCAACGTGTTCTCTGTTGACTGATTTTAACTCTAAAATAATTTTTTTTTATTTTTTGACTACGTAGGGTATTGGCGAACAAACTGGATGGGGTTTACTGAAGACTGGATCATGTGTTACAAATGTAACTTATGGGCAAATGAAAAATTCTGTAGAGGTGAAAGCGCATGCAGAGACTTTCTGTGCGACTTACGTGATAATTAGTTTTTATTAGCACTCTGTTTGTGATAACCCTATGCAGCGTTCGTGATTATCCCACGGCAGTCGAGTAATCACGAGCACCAAGGGTTTCGTTTTTTGACTAAAAAGTTGATTTTTCATGGTAATTTTCCAAAATTGGAAATTGTAGTTTGTAGATGAATAGTTTAAGTATGTCTATAACTAATAAACAAATTCGTTTCTCATTCAGCTTTCGTTTTGTTTGTTTTTTTGTGTAAGTGTTCGTAATTACCCCACTCACCCCTAACTTAAATTTTGTATGAGATATTGAAACTCTTGAGGAATATGTATATGTTTATACTCCGACATTGGGTTAATCTTTTCTTTTTATAATCCGTGTATTTATCAATGTACACTCCCATCCGTACAACACCGGACACTTACGTTACTAAACAAAGAAAAAGAAATAATACTGTTAAAAAATCACTTAAATTATGCAATAAACCAATTCCTATTAATTTTGCATATTGCAGAGAAAATGTAAATCATATTCAATGTTGTGTGTAATTTCAAATAGGTATGTGTTTTTAGTGTGTTCGTTTCATTCGGGAATATTCATCCAAATGAATTGTAGGACATTAACACTGAATTTTTTTATGTATGTAATTCTTCCCTGATTCTACTCAAATCTGTCTATAATCACTACGACTATTTCTTCGTTAATTTCTGCATTAAATTGGCTCGATTATGGATAATGTTAAAAAATGTGCAGCCGATTATCATTGTGTAGTTTTTGTTAAGTAATTTTGTAAGATGTTTGAGGTATGTTCAGTAAAGTAGAATAAATTCGTGAAACTGCTTGAAGAAATTGCTTTTCCGTTTAGATCTCTAGTTTTCACAGAATAATCAATTGTCCTTGTGGGGGTGTATTATCAGTACTTACAAATGACGTAACTAGTGACCATCGTGCCGCCAGTGGCCAAAGCGCTAAGTAATTTCATCAGCAATAACGCAGGAAACCACGGCACAACGGCGCAGCCAATGCCGGAAACCAGTTGGAGAACAACGGATACGATCAACGGCACCTTTCTGCCATATCTATGGCAGAATAATTCATACACATTAATTTTATCGAATGTTTCAGCGTCAACGATACCGGATTTACTCTCATAGATTGAATGATTACACGTAAATGTGTCAATATTGTCTGTACCTATCTGCTAGATTGCCAAATATAATATTGCCCAAAAGCACGCCGAACATCAAAATAGATTGCTGGATATTGGCGTAATGCGTTCGACTGCATACTAAGTTCCACTGAAATAATGTAATCATAAACAGAAATTTATTTAAAACTGTTTGCACGCTCGAGAATATGAATATTTATGAAACTTTTATTGAATTATGATAATAAACCATGATAATAAATTTCCACGGTGAATAAAATTTTCTTTCCATATCCATGCAACTATTTTTATATAATAAAATTCTTAAAAAAATAAAGATCGAGAAGCTTGTTGTAGTTTAATTAACTTATATTTTACGTAAATTATGACTAGACTGAGGATTTTATGCACTTATAAAATATCTGATTGTCTAAAATTCAATAGAGTAAAAAGATTCAGAAAGTTTATTTAGGTCTTGTTTTCATTTCAAACCTATTAGAATACTTAACAGGGTAAATAAATTTTTCTTTGCGTCCAGGTACGACAAATTTATCCATAAAATTTTATACTTTCATAAATATCCGCAGTTTAATTATAGCAATGAATTGTTCAAGGAGGGTAATCTTGAATCAAGTCATGAGTAGTCGGTCGTAAGTTAAAAAAAATTATTCTGCCAGACTACTTGAAGTATTGGGTCAGTGCAAAAGTTTCGATAGATTTTGTGCGGATGATATGATAGCCATGATTTTGTGAAAACAGTAAACGATGCTATTAGTGTATGGGTGTGAATGTAATATACTATATTCCTATTTGGAACAAAAATTGACGAACTCAAGTGTGTTCTATTCTTTTGAAATAAAATTAAAAATGAGCTTTTTATTTTCAGTTACGTGTTACAATGGCATACGCGTTTTATAGAGAAATAAACGTTAATCCTAATCTGTGATAAATTGTAAAATTTATCATTGAATCGATGCAAGAGTAACAATAACAGTCAGTTGTGTATAGCAATCAAATTTTGTACTGAAACTACATTACTCGTTACAAAAAATTATGTTACAAAAAAGCTATTACGTATGTTATTAAATCATTATTAAATTATAATTAAAACCCGTCAAAGCTTTCACGCTCACCTAATATTTCACAATTACTAAACTCTAACTACTCGTATCTAATCTAATTGTTGGAACACCTAGCTCACTATTGAATATAAAGTACGTGATTGGAAGAAGATACTAACCGGACGGTTGCACTTACCCAGCAATTACCTCGTCAAATGTTAAAACGTTCTCAGTTATTACTGTCCAGTTCGTCATTTATTGTTTCATCGAATAAACACGTTTCCCCGCACACTATTTATGCGCATCGTAATATTATGAAAAAAAGTGTCAAACGAAATATCATTAAGATTAACGTATTAACTCCGTCACTGGAATTTTAAGTTTATTGATTACCGCCGCTTCCGCTACGAGCATTTTACAAATAGAAATAGAGAGACAGAGAAACAGAGAGAGTGAGAGAGACATGAATGGATGCAACAAATACCTGCGATATAACCGTCTCGGAAAACGTGCTTCTATCATATTCCCACTCGGTGCATTCCGCCAGTGTACCATTGACATTGACTATGCACTGGTCAGAAAATTCTGTGCGTGCCGGCGCGGTACAGTTGTACTGTTGATGTGGCGCCATGAAGACGATCGCGAGTTGGTGCCAAGCGATCGGGAACTTGACCAACGAGATCGCCAGACACACGAAAATTTGCCATCTGCCAAGATTCCCGATTGCTTCCTGCACGGCATCGACCTCCTCGCCATCGTCGAGAACTTCCTCTTTGCCGTTAGAGACTTGCTTACCGTTCACTTCCGCTGAAAAATAAAGAAACAAATTTTCACACATTTTTATTAGTTTATTAAGGTGTCCTCGAAATGATATGGAATGTGAAGAAGACAGGTGAGATGGAATAGATCGACGTCTAATGCTTTTGTCTTCTGAACAGTTCATTTGTATAAATATATGCAGTCCTAAATATAGATGACAGTTGCCTATAGCGTATTTTCTTTACAGTTAATGAATATAAGCGATATTGAATGGTAAAAATATAAAGTAAATCATCAATGAGAAGCATAGATTGAAAGTTTCATGATTAGATCCTATTGTGCGCGTGTTACACACATTTTAAAAAATCATGTACGATTGACGTAAGTTGTTACTAATTTATTTTATCTGATAACAATCTAACAACACAGTTTTATTGTCTAGTTTTATATTTTTTTTAAAGTACGTTTCTTGTAGAATATTTTACATTCATTTTATGTACATATCACGTTTATTATAAAGATTAAATTCATATATAAATAAACTGATCATGTTTCCTAAATCGTAACACAAGGGTTCTTGAATCGTGCCGGTACGGCTATATGCTATATAATTTTAAACTATCAGATAACATAAGAGGAATTAAAAAAAAAACATTTTTCACGACATGGCAATTTAGTAGTCATAAATGAAATATGATTTAATGTGTGATGTGTATTAATGTTAATAGAAATGTTAAATCGTAATTATCATATGGTGGATATTTCTTTATTTATTCCTAATACAGTAGCCATTCGTTTATTGTATATTTCGGGGCTGTAAAGGGTCAAAATTCCAGGAATTGTGCAATAAACGTACGCCTCAGCCACATATAGGGCGGGTTGGATGTACGCATTTATTGATCATCTTAATTACATATCCCATTATTTTAAAAGATATCAAAAAGTTTATTCACAGAAGTAGGTTAGTATGGACGGTGTTCCTATTACATAACAATAATAATTTCTTCGTAAGTAGAGAATTTTCTTAAATTTGAAGGTTAATTATGTTTTCATTTTAATGATACTGAAATATTGTGGAATAAAAATATTGTTTTTACGTAAATGGATTCTTCCAAACATTCTGCGTAATAAAATATTAAAGTATTATGTGGAAAAAGTTAATAATTCGTGAGATATTTTATGTACAAAATCTGAAATATGTTATAAATTCTATATGTTTACTTTCTAGATTTTATGAAAAGAGTATTTATTATAGGATTATAATAAGGAAGTTTTGTAATATTTACATTTTAATTTAGTACTGTAGATTTATAACTTCTGTTCTAGACGGCTATTGCTGATTTTAAATGTGTTATAATAGTTACATTACGTAGCAGTGCAAGATAATAGCATAAACAAGTTCTGAGTGAACGATATGGGGTTTAATAATTCAAACACCTGGTTAGTTATTGTCAAAGATTATAAATGTTGCATTCAAAGATATGTTTAAAAAAACTCACATGTTTGGCAATGAAACACGAAAAAAATAACACTTTAATTTTGCACTGCAATAACAGGCTACACTCTGAATCAATCTGGTAAATAGAAAACATGTAATCAATAGACTGCAATACAAGAAGCAATAATGCTTCGGTGGATACACGTGCGGGTTGTCTGTCTCATTCACTCTCGTACACTGTCATTGTTTTCCTTTTTTGAACAAATCACATCGCCACTAACGATCAGTGATCAAAACAAAACGACAAGTCGCATATCAACTACGCTCTACATTCATTTCATATGAGCATGCTAGAAATTTGTTATAAAACGTTAAATTCAAGTAACTTTAACAAGTTGACATATAGTATTTTACAGATATAATCCTCAGTATTGTCTGAGATTCTATGAAGGGACAAAATATTGAAAGAAATCCTAAATATAGTAGATAATACTTTTTAATCAGAACCACATTTTGCACTTAATGTAACACTTTTACCGAGTGTATGATTTATCTAATATTTTAAGGAATTCAAAATATTTGGTAGTTTACCAAATAATAACTGAATTGTCAATCAGCTTGTTTAAATATTTTGAATGGTATATTATAAAATCGAAATTGAAGTATAAACATTCGATATTTACAACTGACGATGATCAGTTAGAAAAATGTTCAAAACGATACGAGTATTAATGGAGCCACACCCGTGACGATTATCAAATGCAGCAAACAAAGGGAACGATTCTTTGACGGTAAACACGGAACCGAAATAAGAACGATTGCGAAGGCTAACTCAATCGAACAATTAAGACTGTGGAGGATTGCGATTAATTGTCACTCAAATGACTTTGACCTCTCCTTTGCTCTTGTTCCAAGTGAAGGGTCAGACTGCATTGCACAATCTGTTCTTTATGTATGCAATTAATTTTTGAAAATCTTCTGATCTAGACTATGAACGTTAATGCATTAGGTGCTCCAATAAAAAAAAACATTGTTCTTTTCATAAGACGGTCAATATGGTTTCAATATGAATTCTAAAAGTATTAGGTTGTTGGATAGTAAAAATAAATGTGGTTTTCTTTCTTCGCAATATAAATAACCGCGGAACAAATTTTTGGAAAAATGATTAATAATGCTAAAATCGTAAAAGGAATTTATTATAATATATTTCAACGAATTTGAAACTGTACTTATTAGAAATTTCAGAAACACTATCGAAACATTATCGATCATTGTTGCCAGTGCTGTTAATTAACAAAGCGTTGTTTATAGGTCTCGAAAAATATGTATATTAGTATATATAGTACCCTTTGTGTTTTCAAACTCCCATTTCATTATTATGTAACGCAAGTTTTGTGATTTACACCACTTATATACACTTTTCGTAAGACGTGTACATAATCCATGTGCGTGTTTTCCGACTTTAATAGCTCCATTTAATCAAATCTGTTTAATTTACATTCGAGAAGAGTGGATGAATTACATAAGCCAGACGCTCAACATCTTCGCAGGTACTTTGTACGCATCTTTGATGATTCAGGCTCAAATAACATGCTAATCAAAGAAACAATAACAGTGAATACATTAAATTGATGAATATTATAAAACACATAAGTAGCTGAAATGTGTCATGAATACTTTAATATTAGACCTTGATAGAGTGAATTCCAGTTAACACTAAACAAGAGAGTTCTGAATGCAATTGAAAAATTAATCCCTCGTATAAAATTTTTAAAAGACATTGTTTTACATCAAATTGTAAAATTTCGCTGAAAATGATAACATAGGTGACCTTGATTTTTACGTTATAAGATTTGTGTCTCGATAGAAAGTTTTAGCAAATTTTCTGAACGATAGACCGACGAACATTACAATGACTGGGAAGTAAACAGATCTGTTTATGTTAAAGCAGAGATATTAAAGAGCAAACTGTCCATAAACGTACTAATAAAACCTTGTGTAATTAGGGCAGTTGTTTAATTGCACCAAAGTGCTTTAATGTCAATGCGGCCCAATTAACAGAATCCATTTTATTACGGCGAATTAACCGCAGCTTATCAACTATTACTCAATGAAATGAAGTTTATTATTCCATTTACTACCAGAATCATATTTTCAGGTCGATATAATGAAAGTCCATATGTATAATGATAATCCTTGAATAAATGCAGATAACCGTCTTCAAAAAATGTTAATCAGCAATACGCTCCAGTTTTAGTTTGTAACAGATATGTATGTATACATAACGAGAAACGAACATCTTACTATTTGCAAAGACTGTTGCATATTTAATGAACTGTTTAGCATCCAAATTGGTATAAAAATAATTTCTGAATACTTAATACTGTCAAAGTGCTTTCGTTAGCATATTAAAAACATAATTTATTAATTTTTTTCTTTACATTTTTAATCTATTAGCTGAAACTTTACATTTAATAACGTGGACAATTTTTTATAAAAGAATTCTAAAATTGTAGGAGTAGAAATTTTAATGATTGCGTAGTAATAACAAAGATAATGTCGCTAGATTATTTAGTCCTGTAGATTTGTAGTGTTATATTTATATTACAATGTCATTTGTTGTTTTAATTAATATTCGACATTAAATATCAATGTGCCTCTATATGTTCTGTGAAAATTGTTCATTTCTATCGAATACAAGAAATAGTTTTTAAGACACCGAATCATGATTCGGATACTTGTGAAGTTAAATAGGACAATGATAATTTAATGTCGTTAAAATCAAACGGCGTATAGAAAAATTATAGGCATTTACAAGAATTTGTAAAAAATAATATAAAGTCTAGATTTTTGTAAACATTGACTTTTCTTCATTCGTCAGATACATTCCCAATCCAGAAACATCGAGGCGTACTGAACGAAGCAAACCAATAATTAATTATGCAAGAATCATGGAACGGTGGAGAAATTACGGACGCTGAGTAATCCTGGACATAGTGATATTCACTTTACGTTTATATGTATATTTATGTAGGGTGTTAAAGAAACCATTCAATATTTATATGGTACATAGACACAACTGTACTAAGTAAAAGAAGCCTTAGTAAACATACGTCGTAAGGTCAACCGTTTCTGAGATATAAACAATGTTGTATGTTAGCATCATGATTGACTTACTAGCTTCTATCATCGCATGCGATATTTACCTCAATGTTTATAAACCGCGTTCTAAATGTCATTTAATTTCCACACATACTTCATGACAGAAGATTCCATGGCATATTTGCAAAGCAAAGTGTATTCTTCGCCGATAAATGACTTTGAAGAATTACGTAACGGAATCCATTATGTTTGTTAAATAATTCGACAGAGATGTGGACTTATAAATTACCGAGAGACTTTTGCGACTCTGTAAGAAGAAGATGCGAAACGTGTATGGTAATTGACGAAGGACATATGGAACACCTTCTGTAAATATCAAAAACCCATTAGTAAGTCAATCATGATGTTAACATACACAAATGTTTATATTTCATAAATTGTTAATCTTTCGACCTATGCTTACTAAGGCTTTATTACTCGGTACACTGTGCCCTAGGTTTGGTTTTGGACGAGGTCACTCGGGAGAGGGGCATTTCGGTACATCCCTCCAAAGCTTGGCTTTGGCACCGATGGCTACCACATAGTCTCGCAATTAAGACTACCGTGGACATTACTCGATGAGATTTTGACCCCGACTTTCCAACCATTCTAACTTTTTAAGACCCGAGTCACATGAAAGAATTGAAGTACTCGTGCGAGGGGCAGAGAGTCATGAGGATCGTCCCTTACCCTACCTAATATGTGACATCTACACTAAAACCCAAATAAGACCATAACTGCGAAATGACGAATTTCGGTCTTATTTGCACATATTCCTCTCGGTTACCTTAGTTACCAACGTCTTAAACAATTGAGCTTCATTATGCCTCGTGTAGCATCATAGATCGAGTGACTGTGAAGTACAAACGTGCCAATTCTAAGTATTTATATATTGAGAAATACTTCATTATGTCACCCGGTGTATGACAAATTCTATCGCCCATGTTACAGAGAAACCTCTGGTGCTCATCCCAGCTGCGCGAAGCAGTTATGGTCTTATTTGGTTTTTAGTGTAGTGATCTAGTGGAGTAAGACGTTGGGGCCACCGATCCTTACACTGTGCCCCAAGTCCCATATAAATATTGAATAGTTTTTTTTAACACCCTGTATATATTTTCTGGATTATTTTTACCACTTTTAACGCCGTAAAAAACAGTCATGGATAGATAATGCATAGAACAAGTGAATATCACTATGTCTAGGATTACCCCGCGTCCGTATTTACCCCACCGTCCTCTAATATCATTATACTCTCTCATGAGTGAAAATTATTACCTTCGACTATAGATTAATAAAACGAAAATTGAAGACCAGAAACGATGTATAGTGCCTCTCCGAGCTATAGTGACTTTAGGTGTGACTCTCTCAGTGGGTGTGCTATGTCACACCGTTGAGGATACACGCCGTTAAATATGTAATTTGCTACTTCTTCGAAAGGCTCTCCCTGGACGCTGAACTAACCACTGAAACCCTTAAAGGTGTGACAGATCCGTACCTCTGCTGTTTTTACGAAGTCACTATAACTCGGAGAGGCACTATAACGGCTTCGTGGATGCATTTGCATTCTCCTTCGCAAAACGTTACGAGTGAAAAAGGAAACAGCATCTCTGAGGCCGTTCCTCGCAATGGTGTGAAAAATGATTCCTTGACTCTAATAATTACGTATTCGCACCAACGCGTCCTGTTAAGCGCAAACGTTTCGCCTGTGCGATCGCTTAATGAGATAGCAGTGAAGGCAATGAAAAAAAGTACGAACCGTCAGCAATTAAATTGTTTACTTCGGATCGATTACCGTTCACTCGTATTCGTCCCACCTCCGTTACTCACATGACGAGGGGGTATCGTCGCTGGAGTTGTCGACGACGTGGTCGGCGCGTATTCTTACGCAACAAGTGGGTGTGCACCGGAAAGAGAAGTGTGATTGGTCGGTTGCGTATTCGCTTATCAAACGCGGCCGGGGCATTGATATACACACGTTATTTTACACATGTTTCGCATGCCAACAGTAGTATCACGCAAAAACCAGATACGTCACTTCTGCACACGGCGGACACACTTACAGTGGGTAAAAAAAGTATTCGTACACCCTTTAAAACAGAACAACTCTTTCAAAATTGGACCAAGTGACTTGACTTTCATTGTGAAGTTAGAAAGATTAGTTTACTAAATGATGTATTACGAAAATTTTTTAAAATTTCCGACTTTTCAGAATGTCGAAGAAAATAGTAAATGTCGTTTTTTTACAACTTTTTTGTCTGAGACTCTAATGACAATTTAATAAATACATTTCGAAGATTATATACATGTTGCAACTTTTATTGCAATCGGTTAATACAAAAACGAGTAACAGGCATCGAAAGGTGTTAGAATCTTTACATATATTACAGTTGTAGGTCAAAAGTCGCGAGAAACTGCGATTTTCAACATTTTTAACCGTTTGTATGTCATAACAACGGTAATCGATTTCGATAAAATTTTCAGCATGCATTAACTAACATAAATCAAAACAATGTATTTGTTAAATTTTCATTACAATCTCAGATAAAAAAGTCGCCACAAGCGACCTTTACTATTTTTTTCGCGATTCCGACCAGTTGAAATGTTTTCAACATTTTGTTAACACATCGTTTAGTACACTAATCCTCCTCAGTTCACAAAGAAACTCAAGTAACTTGGTCCAATTTTGAAAGTCTTATTCTATTTTATAGGGTGTACAAATACTATTTTTACCTACTGTACGAGCAGAGCTCTCGCGGCCGAGCGAAAAAAAGCCTACCGGAAGCGGTAATTAACTTGCCTAGGACATTGTTCTTTATGCAGTTTCATTCACCATGGTAACCCTTGAATGTTCAGTAGAGCTTACCGTATTCGAGCTAATAGAGAAACGCAAGTGTACGGATAATGGAATTTTCGGATATTGGAGCAACCATTTTTCTGATACCAAACCATTATTTATTTAAATCGGCAATTTTTTTTTAAATGAGGGTTAAAAATTAGTGAAATGTAAGGTGTTCTATACCATGTAATAAGGTGATGCCAAATACGAAACTGATGTCGCCCGCTTATCTTAACGACGAGGCCTAGTAATATACATATGTATACATACATACAGAATATCGTTCGAGGAAAGACAATGATGTCAGGGGCATCAACGAGGGTTCGAGATGATGTTTTAAAATGACAAGGGTTAAGTATTCGTCTTGACGACTCGGCATAGCACAGTTATATTGTGCGGATATCGGCGAGAGTTAAAATTATATCACATCATCTTATATTACACGAAATAACTTGTAATTGCTTGCAGAAATTATAACATCATTTTTCAAGAGAACGCTTGAGTTTCGACCCATGGTTCCTGTTACAACATTGGCCTTCACGATGAGTAGAACTCGGTGCAATGAAAAAGAACTTTGACCTTGAAATTCAAGGTCAAGGTCAATTTTGCGGAATCTTTCTTATAGTAATTTCCACCAAACCGTGGGTTAGTATCCAGCTATGGTAGTCGTGATATATAATTCCTTGTGACCTTGTATTTAAATATGTATACAGGAATGTTAATATCGACAAACGAAAGCATGCATAGGTTGCTCATGCGAAAAGAAACGTATTTAAACAAACGAATGATAATTAACACTAGAACTACCAAAGTAGTCAAAATGACTGGTTAGTAGACTCTTATAATGACTGAAATATTACAACAATACATTTCCTCAGATTCTGTACAATGTTCATTGAGATATGAAAATAAAGAGATTACTTAATTCATAAATTTAAATACTTTCAAGTTTATTATGATTATCGATTCGACAAAAATAGACATACAGTAGAAGCTTAATAATTGAGGATCCGTTAATTGATCGCGAAGAACGCGATTTAAATCGCATTTAATGTGTGCAATTTTTTGTGTCGCGTTTAACTCGCATATTTTTCATCACAGAAAGTGCGGTGTATATAATATTGTTCTACTAAAATATTTCAATACTCAATAACTTTCGTGAATAAACTTTCTTCATATCTCTAAATATAACGGAGATAGTAAGGCGATCAAAAAGTGCGTGGATCCAGCCCACCGTATACGTAGCTACGTCGAACAAATGAATGGACGGTCGGTGGGGAGAGCGCGCGAGTGACTGGAGCCAATTAATTGATCAATTCCTGGAAATATGGCCCTCTATAGCACCGAAATGATCAATTATCGAGCTCGTACTGTACCTTTATCGTCGGTAGTTCTATTTAGTGCTAACCCTCCGTTGGCAAACATTTTTTCATACTCTGTAGGTAAGCTGGGTTTATTTGTGTCCAGGACTTTTTTTTCATGGTTTTAGGCCCTCGACTAATCTGAAAAAATTCTGGGGTACTTATCAAAGTGAACGTTTGAGTCATACGTTTAAAACTTTAGTCAATAAAAATAAAAATTTGTAGTTAAGTCTGGGAAAAATGACATATCGCTTGGATCGTCAACGAGCGGCATTACTTACGTAGGGATAATTAAGGACTTTATTTGATAAAGAAAAGAAACGACAAAAATTTATTAAATCAACGGATTTATTAAATTTTGTTCTTTAATGTATTTTACATAGCCCTACGTACCATAAATGTATACAATCTGCAGTCTAAGAATAAGCCATTGATAACGTGAGGATATGTGTGTTTTTCTCTTATTATCGATATAATGGAGCAGGAGAGAGTCTTCATCGAAGAATAAGTCGTAAGTCTAGAATAAAATTGTTGCAGGTAGAACTCTTCGAAAAATATGGCTTGTAAAATATATTGGGTGTACATGTTACTACATGATTAGGACTGGGTTAACGTGTGTGTTCATTATTTGTTGTGTCTACATGCTGCAAATACGAAGACTTGTGTATGTAATAAATTTTCAATGGCGATTTTCTCCAAAACGAATCTTACATGAACAGATTTTAGTCGAAATTTTTAACCTATCCTTCATAAAGATGCGCATCTTACAATTAGTTAGTTGCGGATTACATTGTGGATATATTGTATAATTACAGGTAAATAACGTGTCAAAAGTTTTTACTGGTGAATTTTTTATTTCAAGTTAAAGTTAGTATCTGAAATCTTAATTCCTTCTGCTAGTTAAAGCGATTGAATCCCAAGTTTTGTTTTTTCGAAACTGTAACTAACAATGTTAGTTTTAGTAGAACACTATTGTAAGTTAAAAATTAAATACTTGAAGGATTACTGAGAATGCTCAACTCGTGTTTGGTATGAGTAATTCTTAATATAATGTTGTTCCAGACTCTCTACTAACAATTGAAAGGAAAAATTAGCGGGGTACGTATAATTTCTTTTTCCACTACACAGATATACCATAGATGTATATCAACAGAAAAGGGTAACTACTAGCTCGAGTTTGATAATATATGATACAAAAAACGTGAAATTGAGGAACTTTTTATAAGCCTCATTAACATTGCCTTCCTTAAAACCTACTACGTAATAACTCTGCAAATCAATTCAACCTTAGAATAAATCTGGAAATAGAAATTTCGGTCACGTGACATTGTAGATTCTATACTTCATTTTATGCATAAATTTGTGCCATTATTAAAATTTATTCGTTACACAATAAAACAGATCCATATTTTTATTTGGTACAAGGTTCCTAAACTTTGAGTTATTTTTTTTCCGATACAAAAACAATTTTTATACTCGACTAAAGAATAATAATATTATAAAAAGAAATGATTGTTTTAAATATTCGGAAAATATCAAATATTTAACACATTTTCATCATATCTTTGTAATCATAGAAATTTATTTCGTTTTGAAAATATATTATTTAAACAGCAATATGTATTATACACGAGAAACTCTGATGTTTTGTTTAAAAACCTTGGCAACTAATTACAAAATATTTGCTAATCCTGTTACGTTAATGCTTATACTTTTCATCAATATTTTTTCAATATTTTAAATTACATAATATAAAATAGAAGATAAGTGTTAAAGCAATCTTACATTTACACCGATATTTAGATCGTTATACATATTACCTATTCTACTGGCGTCTAAATTGTGAAGTTTCAAATTTTTCTTTTTCCTTTCTTTTACGTTCAAATGATCTCATCATGCTCAAAACACGTCACACGGTTCTGATATACCAAACAAAGAATATTCTCCAGTTATGAAATTCTCTTACACTGACATGGTTAACGTCAACATGAAGTTGCATTTATTGTTCGACAGTCTGCTGTGTAAATTGAACCGATTGAACTTTCCTTCACCGAACTTTGTCCGGAAAAAATTGAACAAAGTTCCCCGCTGTATGACTCAGAGTTGGATAATTAAAATGTACAGTAATAAAATTCTTGCGTATTCTTACAACAATATTTCCATAAAGGATGCGAAACAGTTTTTAACTATTGAAACATATGTAGTTTCAAAAACTTTCGGTTACAGAAATAAAACTTTAAACAGATTAAAGTATTCCAGATTGGAAGTAATAATTTAGATACCATAAGGGACTTTAGAATTTTAAACAAGTTAAAAAAATAATGAATTATGCATGGCCTATGCCTAAAATAATCAGTGATTATTAATCACATTTCAGTGTGAAGTTAAGTTTCAGTAGTTCAACATATTTCAAGGTCATTACAATCTATGAGGAGGCCCATATTCTATAATCTAGATAATTACCTCACATTCTATGTACGTTTAAACGATTTAAACATTCCGTCAGCGTAAAATGTACAGTAAACAGTCATTTCATGTTGTTCGTTAAATTAATTGTTAATATCTTAATTTTTTTTAATTCCAATCAATTTAATAATTGATAGATGATTGAGCAAGTAATTAATAATTCGTTTACTGTAGATTTAATTAATAGATTAATCTTCATCTATGGTTCTTTTTCCAAGCAAGACAAAGTGTCCGATGTGTAGGTTCGTCCAAAGTCTATTTGTTTGCATATCATTAATACTACGCTCTCTTGTCCACGTGTTATCGATTATAAATGCATTCTTCTCCGGTTGTAGCCTGTTTTATTTAGTGATTCGTCAATGTTACTATTCGTACAGACGACTGAAGATTACGCAGGCAGAATTTGCATTCTCCGCAGTGTACATAGCAGGTAGAACACAAGGTCGCAGCTTTGGAATTAATTTTCAATTGCACAAACAGATATCAATTAATGTATCGATCACTACTGATAGTGTAATCGATTCGAAAAACGATAACCGAAGAGAAAGTTGTGGTAAGAATAAATTCAAATTAAATTGTCCATTAATTTCATTATTACCTTTAATATTTTTTATCATTATTCCTAGTTTGTAAGTCTACTATTAGTAGACGTAATTAGGCATAGAATTATCAAATTCATTCATTCACATTAACTGTTATTGTAATAAATGTTTCAATATACTGTCACAATACCATAACAAAACAAAGTTTTACATTCTCATAATAGCTTTCAGTTTGATTTACGACATTTTATCAAAATTAGTAAAATTAATTGAGCAAACACATTTTGGAACAGTAATACTCAAAATAAAGCTTATAACTCAAGACGTTGAACAAAATTATAATGCCCAATATGGTTTAAAAAAGAAGAAGTGATAATAGTAATTCAATAACCTTTTACTTAAAATAAGTCTCGTCTTAACTATTAGACTTTTCAACAAGGAATTTAGTACAAAATTTATTTCTGCGTCAATTATACCTATAAACGTTGTTTTAAGAACTTTGAATAAAGAGAAATCGATCCACAAAGTATTACAAATGATTCCTGAATAGCTATGTACCTCTGTGGTAATGAGGAAGCTATTGATTCGACAAATAGACGTAAATGATGTTTTCGCAAATTCTAGTAAGACTGAATATTCATTTCACTGAACACGCAGTTGCGGTTCCAACACGGTTTCATTTATCCTCATTGCATAATTCTCATAACACTTCATTTATCTACATAACAAAAGAATAAAATACAATACGTTAAAATTCTACATGTCAAATACACAAAATAAATGAAATCAATACTGTAGTAGTGTAGTACCTTCTGCAACACGGTTAATTAGTTGTAAAACAGTCCACTCTATAGAAAACTGTACATTAACACATACAATGGCTCCAAAAACTATTTGCACACATTCATTATTTTTAAATAATTTTGTATACTCATAGAACTATGTTACAAAAATTCTATGGCCAGACATTAACCTGAATATCATTAAGTTTTCAAATAATGAATTTGTTATTACTATATATTTTTGTTTCTTCTCAATATGATTATTGTAACAGAAGCAGGAATGCAAATAGCTTTACATTCACTGTACAATGAATTAAAAACTAATACCCTATAAATAAATACTTATACTTTTTCTTAAAATATGGAATAAAGGTAAATACCTATTTACCTGTCTATGTAAATACACTACGGTAATGTCTCGATGAATGCGACGGATTCGGATTTGCTTCTGAACATTTATGGCAAGACGGAAAGGTTTTCAGCCCCTCGGACATTTGTTTCTTTACACGAAACCGAGTGTCTGCTTAGCTTTTGTTTACTCTGTTTTGATTGGTTCCAAATGGGGACCCTCTAGTGTTGGGAATAACGCCGTTGTTCGTGCCGCATTCATCCAGGGATCACTGTATAATGTCTTACCAACGAACGCAAGATAAATCAACATTGCGGTTACAATTGCTTTCAACCTTGAAATTTATTTTAAAATAACAACTGCGTCATGCAATAAAACTCGTGTTAATCAACACCATGCTGTGCTAAGTCTTATTATACAGATTAGTCGGTAACTGGTGGTACAACCGTAAAGAGGGTAATTCTACATAAAAGAAAATAAGTTGAAAATGAAGAATAAAATTTTTTCGTACGAGGCTTTGTTTCCGAGAAAATCGACTTTGAAAATTAATCTAAAACGCGTGTATTCATCGTGGTAGTAAGTAGAAACGGAATGCCATGAACAGACGCACTAGTCAAGTCCCATTTAATTGCAGACGTCGCCAGTTCTTTTCAAAGTAGATTTTCTCTAAAATAGAGTATTAAGTGAAAAAATTTCATTCTATATTTTCGACTTACTTTTTCATGCAGAATATACCCTTTCCGATTGTACCTGCAGTTACCGATCACCCTATATGTATATCAAAGATAGTGTAAGTAACGAAACCCTTCAGAGAGATAGGAATTAGAACGACAAAACCGATTGTTTAATCGATCGTGGTAAGTTTAGTGCTAAGGGGGTAGATATTCCCACTCGGAGGCGTCATTTTTAAGCGATTTTGGGAACT